GCCTTGGCACATACCGAAAGTCTGAAGTCTGTGTTACTAAAAAAAAATAAAGCTAAATAGAAATACTTATTTTTTTAAAAAACGAATAAAAATGACGAAACAAAAGCACACAACAAAATTACTACTACGAAAATTAAAATTAAAACTGAAAATATGAAAAGCTAATTCAAAATATTAATAAATACTATAATATATGAATAATGCTAAAACAACACATGTGTACTGCACAGTATTAAAAAAAATAGTATTTCATTCTGAACATTAATTCTCATTCAAAAATGGTTCCACAAGGTACAGCACATGACTGTTGTCATATGTATTAATTTTGGTGAATTTTTATATATTTTTTTTCTGTCTTTATTGAAGGGTTAATGATGTAGTTACTATGAATAATTGTTAAATTGCAGCATATGGTTATGAAACAACATAAGAATGAGTAAATGTTGACCAATATTTTTGTGTGTGAACTGTCCCTTTAAATGTACTCAGTGATGAGATCCACACTCCAACTGTGATCTTTAAGTCTCACAGAAATCAACTATCCAGCCTCCAGTGACCTATAGTTCTGCCTTAACCTCAAGCACACCTGAAGTCTGTGTGACTCACAAGTGACAGACAGTAATTCCAAAACTGTATGAATGATGCGGTGACATGTTTATGAGTTAATTGGAGGGTGTTACAGCAGCGTGTCTGAGCTCATTGGCACCTTTACACACACCAATCCCTCCACCCCTCGATGATGCTTTGGCGTGTGCTGTTAAAACAAACTGTGCTTTAAGACTCCGTGTGAAGTCGCTGAACGGATCGCAAACATATTCCCTTTAACACCTCTTAATGGTGAAAATTACTGTTTTATCTTTCTTTTCCATTCAGACAATCCTGTCGTTTTTACACAGAAAACATTAACAACCTTTACTGCAAACATTACAGGGCAAATTAAAAATGAATTGCGGTCTGGTTTACTTGCACGCTGTGTTGTTTAAGCACCTGACTAGTTTCATTGGCCGAGGCCGTCTGACTGACATGTAAAGCAACCTATCACAGCGTCATGTTTAGGGGCATGAGACCAGCATGCATCTAATAAGTTATTCATTCAAGAATACTTGCAATTTTACAGCAACAATGGTGCTGTGAACTTCACATGCTTTTGAAAATCCAGTGTTTAGTTGATCCTGATAAGCGCTCATTGTCACAGTTGTAAACACGACGGGGGTTTCTTCTTCCATGAAGGGGTTTGGCTTCACGACGGCTTTGTTTCCAAGCGGACCGTTTTAAAGAACGTGAAACCTAGAAATCGTAGAGAATTTAACCAATCAGATGACGACTTCGAAACTCCTAAAGTGTTTCCCAATTGTGTAGGCGTTTAGCCAAATTGTCTGAGACTTTAGTCTGAGACTGAAACTAGAGGTGCGTTCACGCCATGTCTCAATTACTATAAGGATTCTGAACTGTAAAAAGCCGTACTTGTACTTGTAGAACTTGCAATTACAACCAGGGCTTGACATTAACATCTGTCAAATGCATGTGGATTCCAGCACTCATTTCATTTGCTCCAGATGAATATTGTTGGGGTTACAGGGCTTGAATTTCAGCGTGGAATTGCGTGTGTTGCACATAATTTTACATATTCATGCAGATTTCACATAAAGCCTCCTCTTAATACTAAATGGAGTTCTTTTTCGCTGCTTATTGAGCTTAAAACCCTTTAAAGTGATGGAACAATTTTTTGTTTGCATTTCTTATCTCCTTATGTCACTAGTAACCACACCCAATGTATTTTTTTTCAACACATCCCATCATTTTTTTAATATCGGCCTCTACCAAATGGTTGAGATGTCACTTAATGGTAAAAAATGGTACCGGAATTCATACACATATTTTGCCACACTTTTTCATTGCCCATCATAATTTATGATCAAAACCTTTTCTAATCTTGACAAAACACATTGTCAGAAAGGTCTGAGTCTCAAGGTTCCATATTTTGTGACAGAAGTGATATTTGGACAGAAATTTAATAATTTGTTACAGCAGAATGCATACAATTAGATTCAATGGAATTTATGTCATTTTTGGTATTACGCCTAAACAAAATCTCATGGGAACTTCAATTTTTGTGATATCAACTTCAAATTTGGAACACAGCTTGGTTAGATATATGGCTTTGATTTTATAGCAAAAAATATTTTGTAAAATATATATTTTATATAAAAGAAAAAATATTAAGTACAGTATATTTGATTTAATGTAAATTTAAAACTTCCATAACTTTTTCATACTTTTATATTTTGAAGTGCTTTTACTTAAAGGAACACTCCGACTTTTTGGGACTTTAGCCTATTCACTTTATCCCCCAGAGTTAGATAAGTCCATACCTTTTTCATCTCCGTTGTGAGGAGCAGAGAGTTCGTTCAGAGTTTGGGTACGGTACGTCTCAGGTGCTGCGGTTATTACTCCACCCAAGTAGCAGTGCTTCGCCTTCAGAGAATATAGTTCCCAGTATTTATACGGTTAAAATATGTCTGTCTCATGTGACTTTGTTTTTTGTACACTCTGTGACTATACAAATCACAACATGTAAATAGGAAAATGTTTGCGTTATTTTGTCACTTATTTGGATTAGTATGCTAGCTGCAACCATTTACATCCAGTCTTTGTGCTAAGCTAGGCTAGCGGTGGGTGCGTCAAACAGACTTATAGCACGCACGGAGATGAAAAAGGTATGTATGGACTTATCTAACTCTGGGGGATAAGGTGAATAGGCTAAAGACCCAAAAAGTCGGAGTGTTCCTTTAAGCAATAATCTGCTGAGTGTTTTCTTTAAAACAAGACCAACTTAGGTCTTTATTCCAAAAGCATTCTTGAATTTTAATAGTGCATTGTAATGTCCATTCTCAAAAAAGGGGGGTGACAGTTAACCGTTATGTGCCAAATCAACCGTTTGGTTGAGCATGTTTTTGAAAAATTATTAAAAACATACTTACGTTTTTTCATGGCACCAAGTAACATAATTTTGTAAAATTAGGGCTCTTACAGTGTAATATGTAAAAGAAATATGCTTAGCTTGCAAAATTTCACCAAAAACAGTTCACATGGCTGGGGTGATTTATTTGTTTCTGACATCCATGTTAGAAGAAGTGTTGTGACAAGTGCTGTTGATTGACACTGTGACATCTAGTGGATTTTTTTTGGCATAACATACCTCAACCAGATGGTAGAGATGGCTCAATCAGTTTGAGTTAAGTTAGGTACTCCTCTCAATAAAATATAGTGACTCAAAATGTGCTCAAACCGTTTGGTTGAGCAGACAGTACAGTCAAATACACACAAAATAATGTCGAAATGCCGGTCTTGGCGAGTATTCACGCAAACGCAGTCAGTTTTTTTAAGTGAACGTAAACAATTGAGAAAGGAAACGCATGTGTAACAGTATAATGGATCAGTGCATCAGGTCTTAAAGTGACAGAAGCCAAAATATATATAGCAGTTTTTTTCCATCGATGTGAAAATGCTGAGTAGCAAGTAACTTTCGAAAGCCACTAGCCACAGTGGCTGGTGAGCAAAAAAGTGAATGTCATTGTCAAGCCCTGATTACAACGTGTTAGTTATGACTTGTACCATGTGGCCGCTCTACCTGACCACTGCAGATTTAGGGTGTGTTCGACTTGAAGCTGCGCTGTGCAGACCGATCGGTGTATGACATCAAGGTACCGCGAGAGCGATTCGAAAGCAAATGGAGCTTTATTTACAGTAATTACGACATGGCATGAACGCAGCATAACAGCCGACTGACTAAAGGAAGTATGCAAATAAAGTAGCAAACACAACCAAAAAAAAAAGTCCAGTGCAATTCTCCAACTTACAGGTCGTAGGGTGCAGAGGATGCAACAGACTACCGCGATCTAGCGACTTTACTGAGGCTGTACAGCAAGTCAATGTAAGGGGAAAAAAACACTGCAAGGTCTTGAGGCACATTTTTTCAAAGTTTTATTTTAACTTGAGCGTTGAGTTTTTAGAACGGCATGTCAAAAGACGCAAGTGCTATGGTCAAACATGTCCGTCTAGCGCATATTTACATTGAAAAACAATAGAAAAGTAGCGCAGTGGAATGGAAAAACACATAGGCAGCATCCATAAATCGCATAATAAGAGTAGGTTCTTATTTTGAACAAGTAATTACTTCACTACTGCTAAAAAAAGTATGTTCTATATAGTATGAATGTAATCCGGACGTAATACATTCGCCATGTTGTCATTATCATGTGACTTTACCAGCGTCAGTCGCTTCATTCAAGAATCCTCTGGGATAGTAAAGTGTCCATCATATGCACACTTCAGAATCTCCCCGGAAGTAGTAGGTCATCCGGGTACTCTTTTATGAGTACTGTGAATTTGGACATACTTATGTTGTCACATACTGTGTTTTCGAAGTATGCAATTTCGGATGCAGCCGTACTGTGTGAACGGCCCCTCACTCAACCATTGCAATGCTTTATAATGCAGCAGAAAGTACGGAGCATGTTGGGAAACATGGCCATTATAATGTTCTTCTTATTCTCATTTGATAATCATATGATGAATAACTGGCTGCCATGATAGCTAGAAACAAATGCAAATACTTTTAAATAAAGTTTTTTTTACCACTTGTTTTTCATGGCGATAAATAGCACAGGCTAACAGCATTGATATTTAGCATGAACAAGTCTAATTTACATGTGTATTTGCTTGAAAAATATTATTTTTTTTAAATGTAATTACATTTTTTATTTTTATTTTTAAATGCGCATGGTGCAGTGCAAGGTTTTTGAAATATTGCGCCCTCAAGTGGCAAGACTGGAAATGACCTTATTAACAAATACTAAATCAGGATCCCTCATTTCACTAAAAACCACACGCTAAAACCCAATACACACATACGAACGAAACGAACAAACAGTCTGACATGATGTGTTGAATCCTGGATCTCAGCAGAAAGTGATATTGCACTGAAGTAGATGTCTCCAGATTCACCGACGCATTTTCCAGCAGTCCGCAGACAACAGCTGAATGAATGTCTGGAATTATGATTCCGTTTGGGTGCCTCCAATTAATGCTGAAGGGCTGGTTACACAATGACGATCGGACAGCAAAGGTGGTGGTCTTTTTGTTTGCTTTACAGAGGAAAAACAAGAAAGCCAGAAAAGGTGGAGTACTGCCATCCTCCTACCAGATTCCCCTTCTCCAGTTTCAGATAAACCTTGTCTTCTTTGTTGAGGTGCAGGAGGACTCCATTGGTGGCGGCCTCGCGTGTGACGTCTTTGTCACCTGCGAAGGCAGAGATGACTGGTTTTCCATTCAGCATTAAATTCACCTGAAACAGAGGAGAGAAAATCAATACAGAGATCTCAAGTATGCACGTTTTACAGGATTTATGTCATGAATCTATCTACTTCTATGATGGTTACATTTATTTATTTATTACAATTTTCATAACACTTGACTACGGAGCCCCCCTAGTCCCACTTTGTCAAAAAAAAATATTATAACTATCTTGTGGCCTCAAGATAAGTAACTCGTGGCCTCAAGATAGTAACTCGTGGCCTCAAGTTACCACGAGTTACTATCTTGAGGCCACGAGATACTATCTTGAGGCCACGAGTTACTATATTGAGGCCACGAGATACTATCTTGAGGCCACGAGTTGCTATATTGAGGCCACGAGATACTATCTTGAGTTACTATCTTGAGGCCACGAGATACTATCTTGAGGCCACGAGTTACTATATTGAGGCCACGAGATACTATCTTGAGTTACTATCTTGAGGCCACGAGATACTATCTTGAGGCCACGAGATACTATATTGAGGCCACGAGATACTATCTTGAGTTACTATCTTGAGGCCACGAGATACTATCTTGAGGCCACGAGATACTATCTTGAGGCCACGAGTTACTATCTTGAGGCCACGAGATACTATCTTGAGGCCACGAGATACTATCTTGAGGCCACGAGTTACTATATTGAGGCCACGAGATACTATCTTGAGTTACTATCTTGAGGCCACGAGATACTATCTTGAGGCCACGAGTTACTATATTGAGGCCACGAGATACTATCTTGAGTTACTATCTTGAGGCCACGAGATACTATCTTGAGGCCACGAGATACTATATTAAGGCCACGAGATACTATCTTGAGTTACTATCTTGAGGCCACGAGATACTATCTTGAGGCCACGAGATACTATCTTGAGGCCACGAGTTACTATCTTGAGGCCACGAGTTACTATCTTGAGGCCACGAGTTACTATCTTGAGGCCACGAGATACTATCTTGAGGCCACGAGTTACTATCTTGAGGCCACGAGATACTATCTTGAGGCCACGAGATACTATCTTGAGGCCACGAGTTACTATATTGAGGCCACGAGATACTATCTTGAGTTACTATCTTGAGGCCACGAGATACTATCTTGAGGCCACGAGTTACTATATTGAGGCCACGAGATACTATCTTGAGTTACTATCTTGAGGCCACGAGATACTATCTTGAGGCCACGAGATACTATCTTGAGGCCACGAGTTACTATCTTGAGGCCACGAGTTACTATCTTGAGGCCACGAGTTACTATCTTGAGGCCACGAGATACTATCTTGAGGCCACAAGTTACTATCTTTAGGCCACGAGATACTATCTTGAGGCCACGAGATACTATCTTGAGGCCACGAGATACTATCTTGAGGCCACGAGTTACTATCTTGAGGCCACGAGTTACTTATCTTGAGGCCACGAGTTACTTATCTTGAGGCCACGAGATAGTTATAATACATTTTTTTGACAAAGTGGGACTAGGGGGGCTCCGTACTTGACTTAAAGCCTGCATTTAATATTATAAAGATTTTCATAGTGCCTTATATTGTAATCCACTATATATTTTCATTAAAAAATTGTAATCATCATGGTAAAACTGTTAGCAATTTTAATGGAAGGCTACTACAGTAAAATTTGTAAATTGTAAGTTACCACACAATAAAATGAAAAATTAAGTTCAACAAGATAATACATGCAATTTTACTGCAAGAGCTGTACAAATATAAAGAAGAAAGTATGAATTACCTTATATTTACAATGAAAATCTATATATATTTACAATGAAAATCTATATAATATTTTACAAGACATGTTTGTAAAATATTGTTAAAATTACTTTTTATAATTAAGCTTGAAATAACTTATAATTATGGTGAAAATGTACAGTACTTTATTTAAAGAATATTTTACAGTATTTTTACAAGTAAAAAGCAAGAATTACCATATCATTTTTTGTGATAGATTATAAGATAATTGTTGCTTTTTAGTTACAAAAACAATTTCAACAACATGCATCATGTTAAATATATTTAACTAGAGTAACTGAACACAATAAAACATGTATGTTAACAGATTTTTTTTAATGATGTTTTTGTAAATAAAAGTATTATAAGTCTCATTATAATATAGGCTATGGAAATGGTTAAAAAGCTGTTAAACTTTAAGTTTATGTTTAACTTTAAATATACTGACTATCCAAGGTGTATTGCAAGGTATTGTATAATAAATAAAAAAATACATTTAAAATGCAATATTTATACAGGCTTCAAATGTTACCCAATTTCTATATTCTCCAACTCTGTTCATTACGAAATTCAAATATGATATAAAAATTAAAGTGATTAAATATATTCTTTATGTGCTCACTTGTATAGTCTGGCTCTGGTACACTTTAATAACGTGGAAGTTAAAGCTGTAGACTCCTTTCCGGGGACAAAGAAAGACGGATTCCAACGTGAAATAGTTTCCTATGTTGACAAGAACCTGCAAAAGAGTATTTCAGAGGTATCAGACCTGATACCATTACACTGAAATATCCTATCCACACTATACAATTATTTGTTCTGTGAAATATGTATAATTGCAATGTTAAAACCTCAAAGGAAAGACCTTGAAAAAATGTTAGTGTCAGATTAGAAAAGGCAGCTGGAATAAAATACGAATGCACTCATGGTTACAATTGGACTTTTCAATTATAATTCTCTGCAGCAATGAAAGTACACTCCTGCCATCACACCAAATTCTCATTCTTACGGCCATATGCTGACCGTGATTCCATTCTAATGCCGTGATGAGGCACCATGAACTATAGCAAATGCAGGGCAATCAATCACAGGTGGATTTTCACTCGCGCGAGAGACAGAAACTGCATCTGAAGTGACAGACACCATGCAAAGATGACTTTTTAAAGCACAGTGGCAGCTTGCTATACACTTCCTACCGTGACATAAGTAATGTTACAAAAGATTTCCATTTCAAATAAACGTTCATTTGAGCTGTCCATTCTGTTATTTGTTATCACTTATTGTTTTATGCATCTTTTTTAGAGTTGCTAACTCCATTTCATTGATGTGTACTACTGTGTGCATATGCATACAATGACAACAAAGCTTCTTATTCTTATTATTCATCAAAGAATCCTGAAAAATGTGTGGTTGTATATTATTCCTATATAATGTTAAGCAGCACAACAAAAATCTTGAGCAGAAACATATATACATACATATTAGATATATCATATACTATATATATATATATAAAACATATTAGAATGATTTCTAAAGGATCATGTAACACTGAAGACTGGAGTAATGATGCTGAAAATTCAGCTTTGCATCACAATATATTCAAATAGAACCGTTATTTTTAATTGTAATAATATTTTACAATATAACAGTTTTTTAACTATAGTGTAAAAGCCCATTTACAACAAGGACGATAACTATAACAATAACACAAGATATTGATCATTCTAAATATAAAAGAACAGCAAATTCCACACCACAACTATGACTATAACGGCACAGAGAAACTATATAGTTGGAATCACTTCTTGAATGATTTCTCCAGCTGATGAATAATAAAAACATTGACAGCCAATCAGAATCCATTCTGCTTTAAAAAGTTTAAGCATTTAAAGTGACAGATGACGAAGCTGCAGTGCGTGTTTAGAATAACCAGAATGATCTCGTCCGCTAGTGTGGACACTAGTCAAGTCAAATTCAAGTCAAGTCAAATATATTTATATAGCGCTTTTCACAATACAGATTGTATCAAAGCTGCTTCACAGTATCAATCAAAACAACTTAACAGTGTTTGTTTATTACTGGAAAAGGCATCCAAGTTTGGTAGAGCTGATCAGTGGTATGATGGGTCATTTAATTTGAATATCCCCAACTGAGCAAGCCAAATGCAACAGTGGCAAGGAACCGAAAAACTCCATAAACTAATATAGTTATTGTTGCTGTTGTTGTGAACAGGCCTTAAGTCTCCTCAAAAAGCTGCAGAATTTGAAGTATAATTCATGTATTGTGGGAATTAGTGCTAAAGTTTAATACTTAGGTTTGGGAAATGGTTTAAATAACTACACCATTATGTACAAAAATATTTTCTTTATTTTACATGGTCAAACAATAAAACACCCCTCAGACTCCACAGTGTTGGGGAAGTTACTTTTAAAAGTAATGCGTTACAATATTGCATTACTCCCTAAAAAAGTAACTAATTGGATTAGTTAGTTACTCTTTTTGGAAAGTAATGTTGTGTTACTTTTGCGTTACTTTTTTCACCTGGGCTGGGCTTGTTTGTTTGTTTGTGGCAAATGTAAAGGCCCTTTCACACCAGAAGTGAAATGAATAAGCCTCAGGCTGAAGGAAATGTAAATTCACACCTGTACTGTTAATAAAGTGAGAATAAATACATAAAGTATATGAGTTATTTATCATCTTTTATTATTCCAGGTCTGCGCAATATCTGAGTTTGCATTTCACTGTTTTTATTCATTTTGAGGAATACTGGTAACCATCATGTTTACAACAGGGCACACACTCCCGATTTCTCCCAACATGGTGACAGGAGAGCTGTTAGTCAATAAATGGGAAAACAAAGTAACTTATTTACTCAGATATTTTGCTGCAAATCAAAAAGTAATGCACTACTTTACTAGTTACTTGAAAAAATGTTATCCGATTACGTAACTCTGATTGTGTTACTCCAACACTGCCTGTAATCTTTCTGGACTTGGCAAAAAAAGTCTACAGTGGCAAAAATATAGGACAACTAAACCGGAATCAAATGCTATCAGGGCCAAACACCCTACAACAGGTTTCCTAGGATTAAAACCCAGTGTTCTCAACACTAATGAAATTTCAGGTCATGTTCGGTAACACTGATTGAAGTGAACATCAAAAAGGAAGTGTATTTATTGTTTTCCCTTCACTTTGTAGACACAAAGATGAGTGGATGGAGTCTGGACATTGACCCCAGCCCGCTCAAAGGTAAATTTGTACATTGCACTCTCTCTTTCTCTTTTGATCTTGACTTTATTACAGTCGAAGAAAAACTCAAGCAAAAGGGAGCGTTTCAGCTTTTTTTTTATGATTGACCACAAATATATAAGCTACAATACTGCGGTCCAAAAGTCTGAGAGCACTGGAGTTTTTGTTTCTCCATTTAAACCTGGAAATACAAAGAAAGTTTCAGATTTTGAAACCTTTCAAACGAAAGAAAAGTTCTGATGTAAAATGAATAAGTCATAATGTGACACTGATAATGTGCCCCTTTGTACAGAACTCTGCTCTTCCTCTGAAGAACAAGATGCTCTTTGGAAAATCTCGAGTCATGCTGGAGAACGCGGTCATCGGGTTTGATTCATGTCAGGCAAACCAAATACTAAGACAATATACTCTTGAAAATAAAGGGATCAGTTCTTAAAAGAGCAATTTTAATCATCTAAAGAACCTTTTTCCACTTTTGTACATTGAAAAGGTTCCTGGAACCATCAATGCCAATAAAGATTCTTTATTTTTAAAAGTGTAGTTAATTTTTTTTTTTTACTTTACACTTTAATTGTCATAGTATGGAAGCTTGTTTCCGCCACAGAATAAAAAATATAAAAAGGTAATTGCGACTTTTTATCTCACAATTCTGACTTTTTTTCTCACAATTGCGAGTTTATATCTCGCAATTCTAACTTTATTTCTCAGAATTGCGAGATATAAAGTCAGAATTGCGTGATATAAAATCGCAATTGCGTGTTATAAAGTCAGAATTGCGAGATATAAAGTCAGAATTTATTGATATAAAGTCGCAATTGCAGGTTATAAAGTCGCAATTGCGTGTTGTAAAGTCAGAATTGCGTGAAATAAAGTCGCAATTGCGTGTTATAAAGTCAGAATTGCGTGATATAAAGTCAGAATTGATGGATATAAAGTCGCAATTGCGTGTTATAAAGTCAGAATTGCGTGATATAAAGTCGAAATTGCGTGTTGTAAAGTCAGAATTGTGAGATATAAACTATTCTGAGGGGAAAAAAGTTAGTCTTTTTTCCCCCTTAGAATTGGTCTGATAACTCGCAATTGCGAGTTTATATCTCACAATTCTGAGAAAAGATGTCAGAATTTCGAGATATAAACTCGCAATTATGTGTTATAAAGTCATAATTGCGAGATGTAAACTCTGTCGCAATTCTGTCTTTTTTTCTCGCAATTGCGACTTTATTTCTCAGAATTGCGACTTTATATCTCGCAATTGCGACTTTATTTCTCACAATTCTGACTTCATATCTCACAATTGTGAGAAAAAAAGTCGCAATTATTTTTTAATTTTTTTTTATTTAGTGGCGGAAACAAGCTTCCATAGTAATGCATGAAAAAAAATTGTTTTTGTACTAAATAAAAAAAACCGCATGAAGCATTTTCACTCACGGTCTCGGATCCATGAATTTTTATAGAGGAGCGCAGCAGTGACGCAAAAATCTTTGGCAAACAAAAGGCTTTCCACATAAACTAGCAGTGATATGTGCTAGGATTACTCAGCATCCCAAACAGCCAGCTCTTTTGTTGGTTCACAAAGCTCTTGGTACATTGACAAGGGCAGAATCTCTCTCTTGCAGTCTGTGAGCTCCACGCAACCTTTCCCTGCGGCGTACCCCGAGCAAGACACGTGCCGGGCCAGAGGATTGGATGGTGTTATGTGTGTCAAGGTCTGGAGCGCAGTGGCTGAGGGCAGCTGCTCAGTCCTGCACTTTTTTACATTACATTATTTTTTTAAGGTTCCTGCAGCCAAAGCAATGAGAGTGGAATAATGGCTCCTCAAGGGCAAAATGTACACAGCTTCCTGTGCATTTCAGCAAAAAGAGACAAATTTACCTGGCGAAATCTTTAGGAATTAAAGGAATTGATCATCCTAAAATGCTAATTTATTTGCTCTCCCTCATGTTTTTCCAAACCCATGTGACTTTCCTTCTTGTGTGGAACAAAAAGTGTTTGAATAAAGTAGTTGGTCTCTTTTTCTATTACAAAAATGGGGACTGAGGCTTTCGAGCATCAAAAGGGATGCAGAAGCACCATAAGAGTCTTTTGAAGGCATACAATATCTTCAGATCTTATTCAGTATTTTTTTTTTCCATGACCAATGTGAACGGATCATTGAGTCAGCGGGTTGAACTTGGGAATTGGTTCAGTCAGATCAATCAGTCTGATCCATAAACAAATCATTCAGATTGGTTTTCTGAACTGGATCAATTGATTCATTAAAAAAAATTGACAGAATGATTCATTCACAGGTGGACAGTGTGATTAATGAACCTTTCATACTTTCAGTGAATATTGAAGTAAAATTCAATCTGATCCACACACAAAGAAATCATATGGCTTCAGATCTTATTCAACGATATTTTCCATGACCAATCTGACAGATCATTGAATGATCGTTGAATTTGGGAATCAGTTCAGTCAGATCAATCAGTTTGATCTATGAACAAATAATTCAGATTGGTTTTCTGAACTGGATTAATGGATTCATTTAAATTATATATATATATATATATATATATATATATATATATATATATATATATATATATATATATATATATATATATATATATATATATAAATGTAGGTAATCATTTACTTTGTACTCATACATTTTAATTGATCTCAACTTAAAATATCTGAGTAAACTCAATCATTCATTTATCTTAAAATTATCATGTAATGTCAACTTAAATATATGTAGTAGTGGAAACTTGGCAAGATTTAACTGTAAAAGTGATCAGTTGACTTAACTTTTAAAAAAGTGAGGATACCCGTTGCCTTAAAGATATTAAGTAAATAAACTTCATGCATAATTGAAAAAATTATGTTATGTGGAATTGTCAAGTGTACATAACTTATTTTTTTCAATTATGCATGCATTTTATGACTTCATTTTAAGGGTTTCCATGACGGGTTGTGCAATTTAGTTCCCCCTATAAACATCTCCCACATAAAGGTTCTCTAAGCGATGTTGGGTGACGTCACTTCTTGTTGACGTTCGAAGTATTGTCAAACAAAACGGAGGCTAGCTAGACTCTCCCTCCTCCTCATCCGCGCACTAACCCCCCAAACCCCCACCCCCAAATCCTTCTTGTCGGTTATTGGCTGGAACACTGTTTGTTATGTTTCGTGGTGCGGGTTGGCCCAGTTTGTTTTTGTTGCCGTTTGTGGAGCCTGAAGTGTCTACAGAGACGGCGTTTTTTTACAGTGTGTTCAGGGGAAAGGCAGCCAGCGGATGGTGAGGAGATGTTTCCTGTATGTGACAAATAATGTGACATCGCTTAGAGCACCTTTAACATTAATCTTGCTCAAAAAACATTATATAACACTTCATTTTAGCATTTTTAGCATCACTCTCCCTTTCGAGTATCATGGTAAAGCCTGCTGGGAAATAGAATTCCCAGTTCAGTTAAATTTAGGGTTGCCTAAATTAAGTTATTAAATAAATGAATAAAACTCAAAATAACGAAACAATTCAGATTACTTAAAATGTGTCAATTTTGTGAACTCAAAAGAAAAATGAAAGTTCTAAATTTGATTAAACCAATTTGTTTAATTTAAGTTTTCCCCCACTCCAACCAATGAATTATTTTGAGCATTAGGGTTTACAGTAATTGTATGACTTCATTATAACATAAATGTTATTTTAGACAACTTTTATGGTGCTTATCCCTTTGAAGGATTTGTATCTTCAGTCACGATTCATTGTAATTGGAAAACATCTTAAGAATGTCTTCTTCTGTTTCACTTTTGTGTCAAGGTTTTGAACAACAGGGGGGTTTAGTAAATGATAAGAAAAAGTTTGTAGGAAGCCTTCAGAGAGACACGTCTCCAAATGTCCCTCCTTTTACATTTGGGAATCAATTTAATCGTGGAAAAACAAACACACGTTGACCTCGTCTCCAGCATAATTTTTCATTCATTTCAAGGATAATGGTAATAAAATTGTTTTTTTTTTTTTTTTCGGCATGCACATCATGCTGGCTCTGTGTTTGATCTGACTCTGCATAATGACGTTCGCTCATTAATTCGACCACGTCTTTGACCAAGAAAGAGAACTGAATAAAATCAGGCAGGGCCGTGCTATGCCAGATCTGTGTGTACCAAAACACACAGTGAATATGAATATATTCACGCAAAGCCATGCTTACTAATTTTCATGTTAAAGTTCATTTAAAGTGGAATGGGAGTCATTTAAAATACAGAATGCTTTTAATTCAGCACATGCATGAGTGTTTCCAATGAATCATAAAGCTTAAGTTAAGCTTAACATGAAGACGTATGCATGAGAAAACACAAACACCGCTAAAAAATAAGCAATACAATAAGAATAAATCTCTGCCCTTTACAGTCCTGACAGTTTGACTTATCACTAATGACCCATCATCACAGTGATATTTCATACCTGTGTATCTGCTGCAATAATGGAAACCCTGAAAACATGCGTTTATGTTCTGTCAGTGTCAAGCACACAGTTGCAATGTATCATGAACAATATTAGACACAGTTCTTACAGTAGGGTAGCTGTGAATATCTGTTCTTATCTGAGGTTACGAAACAAACTCTTTCATGTACAATTATGAACAGAAAATCTGTCCTGAATTCAGATATCCTCTCGTCCAAATGACTTTGAGTTTTGAATGTATTATTTTTCCTTTTGAGTAAGAACATCTGTTTTCACATTACTCTGTAAAATAAATGTCCATGTTAAATGCAAAATAATAATAAAGCTCTGCACTCATTCCAGTTATCACAGTAATCTGATTTAGAATATTAACTAATGATGACAATTGAATTGAATTTGCTTTATGCCTCTTGTATATTCCAATTTGAATATTCCATAATATTAGATTTACTTAAATCCTCTAAAGAAAATCCAAAATCACTGTTATGTTACAAATAAGCAACACTTTAAATACACTGCCTAGTATTGACTAGGTATACATATTACTTCAATTTAATTCATTACAAAAGTTTAAACAATGTGGGACTGGGGAAAGTTGTCACATGTGTCATTTTAATTCATTACTTACCATAATTTGTTGGCCAAAACAATGATTTGATATACAGAATCCATTTACATTTTTTCTCTTTCATGATTTTTTTACTGACTGTTTATTTAGCCAACATGACATGTTCCGTTGTGACAACTTACCCCATATAATGTGACAACATACCTCGAAGGTGGCCTGTGAAAAGGTCAATGTGTGTTAAACTATCTTTTTTTATTTGTATTTTAATGTATGAAACTACTGTATACATAAAGTGACTATACCCTGAGAAATAGGGAGTAAACAGTGTATTACGTGTAACCCAAAACTGTTAGTCCAAACCACGAGCTTTACCTGGATGGTCTGAAAAGTCCAAGTCAAAGAAAAATACTATTCGTCTCAACATGCATAAAAACATGAATATTAACCTTACCTGGTCAAAATATATGATTCTCGTTTTATTGCTCATCTCAGAGGGCTCGTGGTTGTTGCTCCTCACCGCAGAAAAAGCCACTTTGGAGTTGGCGGCGCGCACGGAGATGCCGAGCGGCGAGGACGAGCTCTTCCAGTCGGCGGGGTTCGAGTCACAAACCACCAGACATTTGCCCTCCAGGACGATGGGTTCCGTGTCATTTTGAGAAAAAGCCAACTCAAACATGACGGCCAGGCAGAACAAAAGAGCCACGCAGTCGACAAACGCCTTATTTAAGGGCTTTATGGACACCATGATGAACGATCTCCAATGTAGCCAAAATCCAAACGGCTCTCCCGATCCCGTCACTTCGCTTCTGCTCCGTGTTCGTGCTCGTTTACGCCAAACATCCGTCCGGACACCAGCTGCTGATTTACAAATCACCAAATGCGCGTAGGTGGATGCAACAACCTTATATCTATAGTCATTTTTTGATTGTTATACTTATTTCCCTGTGTGTTATTGATTCTGATAGTTTTCAACTCCAGAAGATTTGTCAGACGAGTTTTGGAGAGATGCAGGTTCTCCTTGGGTTCCTGGTGACTCCGCGTAAAAATCCACTCAGTGCGCACAGAGATTATCCGCAATGCATGGGCAATCGCCACTTCGTGTCCATATTAGTTTTGCGCCATAAAAATAGAGAAGGATACTAAAGCAAACCCCCAATGACCCCTTAACACATCTGTGGATGTTCCTCTCTCTCTCTAAACCACAAGACACTTCTATGAGCGCGCGCACACTCTTAATGACGCCCGACTATAAACTCACTGTGACGACTGGTGCGTAACGTCAGATGACTTTTCAATATCCACCTGACATCCAGCAAAAAGACATGTTTTAAATAGTGTTACACATAGGCAATTAAGTAAAGTTTTTTATTAGTATTTATATTTATAAACAATAATACTTATTATTATTACGATTAATAAAAATAATATTTATGTAATTAAATATATTTAATGATTTATATCAATATACCAATTATTATTATTATTAATACCATTAATAAATATTGTATACTAAAGATATTAATTATAATGTATTAATAATAACAATTATTAACATTTATATTACTATATTGCCAATTTGTATTAAATTAATATGTATATACAGTCGTGCTCAAAAGTTTACATACCCCTTGCAGAATCTGCTAAATGTTAATTATTTTAACAAAATACGAGGGATTATAAAAAATGCATTTTATATTTTATTTAGTGCTGTTCTGAATACGATATTTTACATAAAAGATGTAAAAGATGAAAAAAAAGTAGCTGAATTTATAAAAATGACCCCGTTCAAAAGTTGACATACCTTTGATTCTTAATACTGTGTGTCGTTACCTGTTTTTTTGTTTTGTGATGGTTGTTCTTGAGTCCTTTGTTTGTCCTGAGCAGAAACTGCCCAATGTTCTTCAGAAAAACCCTCCAGCTCCGGCTAATCTTTCAGTTTTCCAGCATCTTTTGCATATTTGAACACTTTCCAGCAGTGACTGTATGATTTTGAGATCCATCTTTTCACACTGAGGACAATTGAGGGACTTAAACACAACTATGAAAAAAAAGGTTTAAACATTCACTGATGCTCCAGAAGGAAACATGATGCAGCCGGGGATGAAAACTTTTGAACAGGATGAAGAAGTCCACATTTTTTCATGAAGTACTGCCCTTCGGAAGCAACAGAAGATACTTGGATGTTTCCCGGAAAAACAAATTGAGTCACAGTCACTGCAGGAAAGGGAATACTGCATTTCAGACACAGGCCTCAAAATTGAAGAAAATACTGAGTGAAGTTATAAGAAGGACAAGCAATTCATGTGCAATCTATAATGGAGCAGAGAAGCATTTCAATATTTGGCTTTATGCGTTTGGCGCTACTTTATGCATCTCAAGTTGGAGCCGTGAATGTCATTTGCTCTAATGTTGGACTATTAAGCAATGCAATTCTGTAGTTATGTGTGTGTGTGTGTGTGTCTATAGATAGTGATTATATAAGATTATAAATGAATTGCTTTCATCAGGACTCAATACTTAAATGCAGGGTCATTAAATAAAGTTATTGCAGACAGCAAAAAAAATACCTTTTTCCATAAGATAATGAAGAAGTTCAGAAGTCAATGAAAAATGAACAATACACTTTGTACTCGGCTCAACTCGCTGATTTCAATCTCTCTTGAGCAACGCAAGGCTTTTCATTTATGGAACAAATTAAGGATGGAATATTTGCAAGCACAAATTAACAGTTAACTCACCTGGGGACCTATTGAGATGCTTGGGAATTTATTGAATAAATGAGAGCTGTTATGGCTGTTTACCTTCATGATGTTCTTCATTTTCCTCTCAGCACCTTTCTCCACTTTCCCAATGTTAGTCTTCTATAAGAGAAAGACATATTGACTCTAAACTCATGATTACATAGTGTGAACAACAGGACAGCATTGCAGTGATGCACATTTAGTATACAGCGCCCAAGTGTGGATGGAGTGTCTCTTGCTTAGAAAAACAGCATCCGATGTGGTCATGCATATTTCAAAATTCATAAATGTTTCACATGTTTAGACCCTTCTAAACATGTGAATCTTCTGGATCAAAGTCATTCACCAAAAAGATCATTGGGCATTCGGTAATCTCTAAACTATGTAAAATCTTAAGGAGATTGTAACCTACATCTTGCTGGTAATTTCACTAATGATGAGGACGTCGTTTGACTGGTTTCAAAAATAGGGCACATATATAAATATCATTAGATGGTAAGCAAACGATCAGTTCTCGTAATCAACGTTTTGGATGCTGTGGCAAGGCGACTGGGTCAGTCAGAGTATCTCTGAAACGGCAAGGCTTGTGGGTTCAAAGAGGGACAAACCAGAAACCGGCAATAGGGTGTAAGAACATTTTGGTGGGAAATGTGCACAAAAGTAGTGAATGCAAAATGAAAAAAAAAAGTCATAATGGCTTTTTATGCTTTTTGCCAGCGAAAAAAAAAAAAATCGCTGTTTGGATGTAAATAGGCAAATGGGGTCAATAATTGTATACCTTAAAACTCATCTTTGATCACCGAAATGACATATTTAAACATTTTCTCAGTGAAAAAACATTCTTCATGGCTTAAAATAGCTTGAATGTAACTCTACACCCTTGCCTAATTTAGTATACATGGTTCTATACGTTCTATGAATATGAGCCCCGCCTCCACTCACTCACTCAGCTCAGAGATCCACTCGTTGACGATCACGTTGATCTGATTGGTTACAAGGTAGTTTGTGACGTCAGAAACACCAGCGATTTCAAACCGACTGTCTTTGGTTCACTGCAGTTTTTTTAAGGAGAAAATACTCAACAATGGTGTTGACTTAAAGCATATTAAAAACACAACATAGACATATAAACAACATTAAATGCTTGATTTTCACAAGGGGGACTTTAAGAGTCTATGATTGGATCATTATTGCAGTGATTATTATGTTTCTAGCATGTTATATGTTTGGCAACAGTTCTTCTAACCCTAATTGATGTAGTGTGTAACTTTTCAATACATGCTGTGATGTTATTTCCATCAAGAGGTGCATACATTTTTGGTAAAGGTCTTGTATTGTCAATGCAAGAGTCCAGCGCTCTGTAAAGTCTCCTCCAGCACATCCCAAAGACTCTCAATGAATTTAAGATCTGAACTCAAAGGTGATAATTCATGTGTGAAAATGATTATTCCTGCTCCCTCCCAACCATTCTTTCACAGTTTGAGCCTGATGAATCTTGACATTGTCATCCTGGAAAATGGCCATGATGTGTCTTCCTACATGCTTGTTTAAGAAATGAAAAGCTACACACTCCATCAATTAGGGTTAGAAGAACTGCTGACAAACATATAGCATGCTAGAAACATAACAACCACTGCAATAATGATCCAATCATAGATCGCGTCCATCAACACCCCCAAAGATTCACAGTCCTATATTACATCCTGGGTCAACATTTCATTGGATAACATTAGGCTGTTTTGTTGTATATGCTGTTTAATGTTGATGATCGCGTTATTTTACATATGCATTTGATTATGCTATCGCTTGGTTCTGCATCTTCTTAATGTCCATGGAGACTCTTAATCAGGAGATTCAGTACTCTTTCAGAAGATATGTAATAGCAACGCTATCTCACGACCAATTCGTATGAATTCGTACAAATGAGTAAAAGGTGGCTACATATGATTTGTCTAAACCCCAGTGGGTAGGTTTGGGGGGGGGCAGGTCATTCATATGAATTCATACGAATGGGGAAACTCGTAAAATATGTACGATTTAGCAAAAATCGTATGAGTGAGTTTGTATGATTTCGTATGAATTAGCCACATCGTAAAATTCATACGAATTGCCGTGAGATCGGGTTGGTAATAGCGTCCCCTACCGTATAACAGTAAAAAGCTGGACATTTCCACATGGCCTATGGCGGTGGAAGCATCGTCTCAGAAAAGACGGAAATTTCCGTCAATGGCGGGGAAAAATGTAAAACTCTTAAAGTTTTCCAGAATTATTACTTTTAAACCAGCCTGTAAGCCTCTTAACACAAATGATGACATAAGGAGTTAATATTTGATTAAGAGTATTGGATTTTTGCTGGACCAGTCACCTGGACAGCAGCTGGGGAGAGAAAGCCGTGAATCTATTCCTGGATGAGAGTAAGATAAATGAGCTGGACTTGAAGCACTGCAAACGAATCAACCCCCTGTGACCTGCAGGCTAGCTGTCTTCTCAGCCAGGTAAGCACTGCTGGGAGCGAGAAGAAAAGGCTAGTTGACACGACCCCATTGGCAATGTTTGTGGAAAGAGAGAGAAGGACTGGCTCATTGGACCATTTCAGAGCAACGTTATGATTCACTGGGTTGTGGAGCGAGCGGAGGACTTTGGAGTGCTGTGAAGTTGTCTGTGCTTATGTGTGAGTGTAACTCTATGCGAGTCCTTGCTCAAAGCACAAAGTAATGCTGGGCCTGCAGCGTTTGGGTGTAAAGGCGTCTGGGTGAGCACCTCCCCAAAGCTGACATTGACTTAGAAAGCAAATGACATTAAAATCCATCAAACAAAGCTCTGCACTTTTCCTGGAGTTCAAACAAACCGGCTTCTCTAGGGGTATCCAAACAAATCTGCCAGTCTAGAGAGAAGGTTAAAAAATCCACAGAATTAAAATGAAGGGGGAAAAAACTCTCTCTTGCTCCCCAGACTGGAGTTATAACAGGTATAACACTTTTTAAGTTTATTATGTTTAATTATTCTTTATTTATAACCAACAGAATCAATTCTAGAATGCATGTCTCAAAGAAACAGATCATCATCAACAACAACAAAATTAAATTCTGTCATTATTTACTCACCTTTATGTTGTTCCAAACTCAAACACTGTTTTCTGTTACCTCGTTTCCACCAAAAAAGGACTGGTTCGGAAGTGGTGCTGGTTCAACTTGCAAACCTTCTCAGAACCTGTTTGTTTTTCCACTGACTAGAGAGCCTAGCGAACGACGTCGTTACGTCACTGTGTACGTCGCCATATGTCTTAGCTTTCCCATTCCCGTCGTGTTGTTGGTCACACAATAACCCCGCCCCCAGCACCCAGCCCCCGACGTGGCATTGACGTGGTAAAAGAACGGTTCTAGTCCAGCAAAGAGTTGGTGCCGCTTTGGAACCAATTTTCCTGGCCGAGAACCGGTTCTTTGGCTGTTGAAACACAAAGAACTGGTTCGTGAGTAGGCACCGGCTCCGAACTGGCTCTCAAAATGCTTTGATGGAAAAGGAGTATGTGAGATAAAATGACAAAACTTCATGCAGCTCTTTCCATAAGTGAACACGTCTGTCAAGCTTTAAAATGAACATTATGAAAATGAATGAAATCCAGAAAATGTATTATTTAAAGGAACCATAAAATAGTCCTTATTTTACATCATATTCTGAGTTTAAACTACCTTAATTTCAGTCTGTTCAGAATATTCATTCATTCAGTCATACAGAATCCATTCTAGAATGTGTTTTTTTAAGGAATAGATCACCAAAAAAAAAAAAAAATCTGTGATAATTTCCTCACCTTCGTTTTGCTCCAAAACTGAACAAGGTTGCTATTTATTTTATTTTTTTTATTTTTTTGTGGGACACAAATTGGTGACCACATCTGTGAAGCTTGAAGAGAACATCATTAAGAAAAATGCAGAAATGACAATCAAAATGTATCTAATTTACTTTTTCAAACATAGCCCATTCTAGAATGCCCCTCTGAAAGGAATAGATCACCAAAAAATACAGAACTTAAAATTATTTTTAAAATAACCAAAAAAAAATAGTCCATATATTGGTAACACTTTATTTTAAGGTGACTTAGTTACACATTATTACATGTACTTACTATAGTAATAACATTAAATTATGCATAATTACAAGTAACTAACTCTAAACTAAACCATAACCGTAGTCGTAACTTTATAGCAAGTAAATGTAGTTAATTAATATTACTCAGTACTTACATTTAGAGTAAGTGTAACTACGCCACCTTAAAATAAAGGGTTACACTTAATATTACGGAGTAATATTAATTAACTACTTTACTTGCTATAAAGATACGACTAGGATTAGGGTTTGGTTTAAGGTTAGTTACTTGTAATTATACATAATTTACTGTTATTACTATGGTAAGTATTATGTAACAAGGACACTGTAAAATAAAGAGTTACCAAATAAAGTGTAACCCATTTTTAAAATTTTAGTTTTTGAGTGAACTTTTCCTTTAAGACCACTATTAGTAGGCTGAAAAATGTAAACACCTACCTGTAGCTCCCTAAAAATTTCTGTGAAGGGGACGCTGGGAGATTTACGCGATAGGTTTGAGGTATAGCGCGAGCTCTTTGACAGCTGCTAATAATCATCCTTTTCACACAGTTGCCCAGCACACCGTGTAGCACCTGCTAACCCACCTCTGATGGGGTGACTGAAAAGCATCTGATGGTAAAAGCGACTTTTTGGTCCCAATCTTGCCTGACTGTGCAGGCTGACAAAAGATTGGCAGCTTGCTGCTTTCACCCCTGGCAGGCGCTCCGCAAAGCAGGCCAAGAGAAATTGTTTAATCTGAGGTCTATACAATGGGGTCACGGCCGAGCACTTTGGCTGGAGTGATTTTCTTCAACAGCCTAAATGCTTTTGTGTAGCGCTGGTCAAGAGGGCAGCACATGCATTTTCAGTTTTTATGTTCCACGAAGCTCAGACCAATCAGAAAACAAATCTCAAAAGTTTAGTTGTGCCATAGACGTTTTGAAATTAAACAAACAAATTCATTCTAAAATATTTTGAAGAAGGTATACAAATAATAACTAATATTTCACATGTAAGTCCTTTAATTAATGCAGGCAACATGAACTAGATTAATATTAATTAAATAATATACCGTTCAAATGGTTGGGGTCTTTAAGATTTAGTCTATGCTCACCAAGCCTGTAAAATCAGTAATATTGTGAAATATTATTACAATTAAAAACAACACTTTTCTATGTGAATATATATATTTTTAAAGTAATTTATTCCTGTGATGATAAAGCTGAATTTTCAGCATCATTACTCCAGTCTTCAGTGTCACATGATCCTTCAGAAATCATTCTAATATGATGATTTGATGATCAAGAAACATTTCTGATTATTATCCATGTTGAAAACAGCTTCATATTTATGTTGAAATCATGAAACATTTTTGTCAGGATTCTTTGCTGAATTGAAAGTAGTGCTATCAAATCGCATCTAACATAAAAGTGTGTGTGTGTGTGTGTGTGTGTGTGTGTGTGTGTGTGTGTGTGTGTGTGTGTGTGTGTGTGTGACGCGTCTCCTAAAAACATAACCATTATAAAAATAATGAAAATTTTAATTCACTTTCCTTTTATTTAATGGGACAAATTGAATGCAAAGGTGTAATATGTAAGGTTAGGGGTTTGTTCAGATAGTAATACTTTCATTTGCAAACAGCATTTATTAGCTTTATAAATTCTACCATTATCTGAAAAAGTGATTCAGATTCAGGGATGTGTGTTGTGTTCGACACCCTCCATCAATGCAGCAGAGATGACCAGCAGACCTTGATTTTACAGATCACTTTCAGTACGCTTACTGTACCAGCTGTATGAATTAAACCATTCAGCTCGGCAGCAGACAAGGGAGTAGGGTTGGGTACCGAAACTCGGTGCCAATAGGGAACCGGTTCCGACGTAAACGGTAGTAATCAGACCGAATAAGAACGACAATTTCGGTGCCTGATTTCGGTGCCTGACTTAATTAGGCACACACACACACACGCACAGTCTCTTCTGTCTCGCAAGCGCGCTCTTGCTCGCAAGGTTTGGCTGCATTTCACGTGTAAAATTAAGCGTCAGAACGCCCTCTGGGTGTGCCGATAGTCTGAATCCCATATAGAATCAAGCCGATTCATTGGCTAATGGCGCGGGCGCCGCCTCGACGCACTTACATCGTCATATTATGTTGGCGCGCGCGCGCCATCTGCTCCTCAGATTTCTCTGTCGAAAAAGGAAGCTGGTCGGCAGCGCGAGGAGCTTGGCAGTGTCTCGTTCCCTATTGAGAGAACATAGGTTACACCAGTAACCAGATATGTTCTCTTTCATAGGTTCACTCAACGCTGCGTAGCTAAGAAGCAGTGTATTAGGCTGCTGTATCACGTGCCGTTTGAACTGACGCGCTACAGCGATCTGTCACATTTCAAAGAGCCAAAACGTTATTTATTGTGTGAATCTCGTACAAATATTGACAGAATCTGACAGCTGTGGATTTTTTCCGTATCAAAAGTAATCTTCTCTGTCTTGTCTGTCGGTGTCCTCTTTGTCCGCGATTTTTCTCTGCGTGAGAAAATGGATGTGTGGCGTGCGTGAGAGCGTGTGAAAAGGGTCAATGCGTGAGAGTTGGCAGCTCTGCTAGTAATCTCTATTAATCTCCAGTATTATTACATTGTTTGATACAATATTGATTTATTTGATATTATGTAAATGTGTAAAATGTAATGTAAAAATTTGTATTTTATATTGGTTTTATTATTACCATATGTTACTTGTATTTATATTGTTTAAAGATTTAAGTTAATATTGTGTCCAGTTTGGCCCTGTAAATAAAAGGGTATTATTTTTTGATAAAGTGTGTGCGGTTTCGTTTTCTTAAGTACCGTTTCAAGAACCGTTTAAGCACCGGAACCGTTTAAAAAATACAGAGTAGGTACTGGTATCGGATAAAACCCAACCGATACCCAACCCTACAAGGGAGACATTAAAACATGTGAGAAAACAGTTTTGGCTTCCAACTCTTTGTATGGCCATTAACAAGCCAGTTAAGGTCAAATATAAGGTAACAAAGCAACAGCTGAGTACCTAAGAAGATGAACAGATGTAGCGATTTAAACTAATGTCATCGTAAAAGCCCTGTGTGTAATCCCCACTTTTATTCTAAACCAAACATGGTCACAGAGTATAACATTTTTTTTTTTTTTTTGAAAAAGCACACTAAGGGAAGTGAGAGTGACAGCAGGACATGATTTAAGTGATACCAGAAGAGTCGTTTTAATGATTTATTTGATAAAAGTGTCAATTAAGATGACTATTAATGCAAATCAGTGGATTTCAGAAGACAAATTAAGCTTGTTTGGTTTACTCATTCCCTGTGCAGTCAAGTTCATTTCAGTAAAAAAAACCTCAATTTTTGCCACATGGTAGAAGGAAAGCATTTTCTGTCTGACTAAGCAGAGAATTTGAGCTGACAAACTCCTGCAGGTCATGAAATACTTTATGTACCCTACCGCAGGGCGCAATACTCACTTCATTTGCTTGTTATACTGTACAATGAATCTGTTTCCGTAGCCCACAACAAATAGGTCACGAGGTCATATTTACACAGTTGTGTTGCTACTCTGCTATGTGGTTTAAAATAATTGGTCACATATTAACTGAAGGCCCTAAAAACTTAAAATAGTGCTTAAAATGAAATAGAAGCGCTTTAATATAGTACACAAATGCTATAGGCTACTTTGAAAAATGCTTTTAGCATCATTCGTCATTAAACGGAAAAGAGCGGCTTAAACATTCTGCCAAGCATCTTCTTTTGTGCTCCAAAGAAGAAAGAAAGTCACATGAGTTTGGAACGGCGTGAAGATGAGTAAATGATGAAAGCCTTTACATTTCTAGCTGAACTATCCCTGCAACGGCAGAAAAACTGCAACGGACGTTCATTACAAAAGGATTACGAGTCACGAGCATGTAAATCCTAGTGTTATGCGCAGGAAATCAGACTTCAAAAAGATTCGTTTCTTCTTTAATTCGTCCTCTTCATTTTATGAATGAAATCCAAAGAAAAATGAAGAGGGGTCTGTTCTGAATAGTGTGAAATGCAGATGTCCTGTGCTGAACCGCCACAGAGGACTCGATTCGGTATCATCGAGAAAATTCACACACGCTCAAGGCCACAGAGAGTCGGAGATTCAGCAGCCAGACACACGAGGAAACCATTCAAGTGGCTGTCTGAACCAGAATGCCTCTTTCACACCAGCCATCTGTGAATGTATCACTAATATCCATTATACATACACTCTAAAAGAACAAAAATGATATGTGGCTCCAGTAAATGTTTGCTCCTGCTTGGAAAATCAATCCAAGCTTTTTGCAGTGGCACCGGGTCAAAGAACCGCATGATCCTTTTAATCAAATCGAACCAAACACCAGCACTGGGAAAGATCCAGAAAACATTGGTCGTAGTCTGTAGGTAAGTCTATGTAATTCATCTCGCCTTTGAAATGTTTGAGAAAGCAGGTGCCAATTCACACAGACTGTACGAACACCTACTGCATTAGATGTGTCTATCTGAACGGAAATTCAGGATCAATGAGCGTATTCAGAGTATACTTTCTTGAAGTCATTAATAAATTGGCAAATCCATCCGAAAAGTTCTTGGGAGTCTTGATCCAAAGGCTCTCCGAATTTTACCTGTGGACGAAAAAGAAAACAAATGAACAGTGATATTGTCAAGTCAAGTTTATTTATATAACACTTGATACAATCAAAATTGCTTCATATTGTGACTGTTACCGTCTATTTCAAAGTCAAAATACAAAATTTAAAAGTTCTAATATAGTTCCTCTGATCAAATCAAAACATCCAAATACCACCTTGGCAATGTTTACACCTGGTATTAAGATGCGTTTTGGTCGATCGGATCACAAGTAGACGAGGGAGACACATTCCCGTTCACACCTGGTGTTTTAATCCGTCTCTTTTGTCCACTTTCAACCACTTCTGTCCTGATTTCTTCGAGGGAAGGGTCTATGGGAGGGTAAATGTATGGGTTTCTTCAGATCTTTCGATCTGATGCACAAATAAGCTCGCGCAATTTACATATGAACGCGACTGGAGACGATGGAAAAACATGGAGAGCATCAGCTTTCGTTTCTGCTCTGACAGCCACATGATCACTCCGAACGCTGTGAGTGTGTGTTAGAAATCAGGAATGGTGAGAGAACATTGTGCTTGGCAGTAGCGGTTTTAGGCACGGGCGAACCGGGCAGTCGCCCGGGGCGGCATTTTTTCATGTCACATGGGGGGCGGCACAAGCAGTTAAAAAAAATCCTCTGCGCCGCGAAGGTTTTCTATTTTCTATAATTTCAATTCAATTATTGCCAATGGCGCCCCTGCTTGCTGAGAAGGTGCCGTGCACAGAAGCTATGTCAAGGGGGTCTCCAGATTGGAGGTAACTCACCAAGGGGCCGTTCACATATCGTGTCTTTTGCGCGCTCGAGGTCCTTATTTCAAATGTAGGCGCACGGGAAGCGCGCTCATAATTGAAGCGACGCGCTCATTTTTTCCAGGAGCAGCGAGATGAACATTTTTAATCTTTTCAGTATGGGGGTGCACCCAAACACGTGGCTGTTTTTCTCTTCTCCGTAAATAAATCTTTTAGCAGAGCTACAGCAAGCGTTTTTCTGTGGTGGAAATCCATTAGCTACTAAAACTTCTTTGTCGTTGTGGAGAGCGCAGTGCATGGTTGTATAGCAACGACAGCCATGGGAAAATCGGACCGAATTTTACTATTAATAATAAAAAATAAGCTACTGTGCATTATAAATGTCAGGAATTTATCTTTATTGACCCTTTCTTTTTATAAAGATGATTTAAAGGCTGAAATATGCGAGGTTTATCTTTTAATAAAACCTTTTTTGTCAAAAGTTTATTTGAACGTGTACATGTCATTAGATAACATAAAACACACTCCTTTAAAATTTGGCCATCATCTTTAATGTTATTAACTTGGTGAATAGATTTCATTGTGTATTAGGCCTACTTTTTGAACAAGATTCTGTGTTTAACCGTGATCATTTTGGTCACTATATTCATGAAATGAAAATAATTTTCATAATGATCAACTAAAATCAACTATAATTATGTGTTTTTACAGTAGCCTATAATATGCAAAGTACAATTTTCTATTAAAAAATAATCTCTGATTCTGTCCTTTTCTCTGACATTTAAGGCCTAAGCTATTTTAGGTCTAAAACAGTTTGGATAGTTGTTAATATTAGAGTTATTAGAAATTATTTAAGAGATAAGTATTGTGTTACTAAGTATCTCTCGGCCACTTTCACTTTTAAAAACTCTATTTCGTGACAAAGTATAGTTTAACAAGTCATAACTAAAAGTGTGCCATGCATAGAATTCGAGGCAGTAACCAATGAGCTAATGGTTCCTCCCTGAAAGTTAGATTAATATAGCAAAATAACTGGATTTTCTTACTGTTTTTTTTTTCCAAATGAACGGTATGTGATTTTATTGTTGTTGTTTTTTTTTCTTGTGTGTGGGGGGGGGGGGGGGGGGGGGGGCGCTTGAAGGGGGTCTCGCCCAGGGTGTAATTCAATGTAGAACCGCCACTGGTGCTTGGTACGTTTTTCATCTTCAACCTAAACTTGGGTCAGCCGACAAAGTTTAAATCCCGTCTGGCTAGCGCGCTTGTGCATTGAGTCAGCAGGCGGAGAGTAGGCGGTGTTTTGTGGCTGTTTGAACGCATTCGAACACATGAGCGTTTACACTATGAAAGAAAGCTGGTCAAATGAGTTTTCGTCTTCCTCTGGAAGTGATTGAAAGTGGACAAGATCAAAACGGTTTAGACCACGTTTACACCTGTACTTAGTGTCGTCCACTTGTGATCCGATCGAACAAAACGCATCTTAATACCAGGTGTAAACTAGCCTGGATGCCAGCCTGTACCCCGCCCACAACATTTTTTGGTCGGGAAAATCGGTCTGGACTCGATCCATTGAGGAGTAATTATGATCGGTTCAGAATTAGTCGGGCAAATCAAATTGCCAGGGCGGGCTTTATGAGATGATGGACAGTTACGTAATCATCACGTTATCAAAGAGCGCTTGGGTTGAACTGGTTTCCCTCAGAGATGACTGCAGCTGGAGAACCCTGTGGTCGTTGTGGTTTCTCCTTTGGTCGCACTCAAGGACCAAGTAAAAGAAGCAACACTCATTATTTTACTACTTCTTCCAGCGTGCGTGCAGTTGAGTTCTGTAGACAATTTGCGTAGCTCATAAAAAAAACACTTACTGCGTTGCTCTGATTGGTTGTAGGTCTATCCAATTGAGTGCAGAGTTGTTGTTTTTCCTGGTTCGGTTAAGACACGCCTCACAATCAAAGCCCTATGGAGCAGTATCAGACTCACATTCTGACTAGAATATGAGTATGACGAAGTCAGGCTAGGTGTAAACAGGACTCTAGTCAATGTTCCCTTGAAATGTTTCACTAATATCCATAAGTCATACTAGTTAAAAGGTACTAGTCCAATTATGCTTATTTTTATTTATATATTTATTTACATTTTCAGCTTTCTTTAGTGTGTTTATGTTGTTGTTTGAGCATGAAAAAGGTCTGCAAAGTTACAAAGCACAAAATCCCTGCAAAGGGAGTTATTCTGTATATCAGTAACTCCCTGAAATGCCTTCATTGTAATCTTGAGTTTAGTCTTTGTAATCTTGACAAGTCACAATATTCCTAATTTAAATAATTCCTGCTCAAGGCATACGTAAAATAAAGGCACGAGGCCTGGTTGAGTTAGTTAGTAGTGTGTTGAAACTCGTGGTTATGGTAAGGGGTGGGACATTTCCCAAACACGCTCGAAGCGGTTGACCAATCATAACACACTGATCCAGCCGACCAATCAGAGCACTGCGTTTTTCAGAAGGCGGGGCTTCCTAGAGACTAAACAGAGTGTTACTGACAGACTGGGAAGAGAATAGCTGGAACAATGTCAAATATGTGTGTTGCAGGGTGTTTTTTGAACATTCAAGCATGAAAACCTATTCTAGTAGAAACTATTTAATAGCCAAAAAAATAAAAACTGCTCATTTTCCCATTCCTCTCAGTTTCTCTCTTCATCCTGGCTCTATTCTTTCCATAATTCCTGGCTCCACAGCCCCAAGTTGCTGTTTGCTGTATTTTTGCCCAAGGCTAAAAGTTGGGCTGTAATTGTAAAACTAAAGCAATTCTCATCACTGGCAGGAGACTCGCTCCTCATCCTGTCAAATGTTCACAATGAAACACTCACAGTCTTGAAGAAAATTGGGACAGTTGGAAAATAAAATACATGTAACAAACAGAGGAAAAGGACAATGCTTAAGAATTTGTTATTTTCCTTTATTATTAAGTAAGCTGTGTATTTTTGTGGCCCCTGATTTGGCCCAACTGGGCTTTTAAAGCAAAAAGCAGTTGTTTTGTTTTGTTTTCTGTCAGAAATGAGTAGAAACAGAGGTGGACAGTAACAAAGTACATTTACTTGAGTATCTGTACTTTACTTGAGTATTATTTTTTTCTGGAAACCTTTTACTTTAACTTCACTATATTTGAAAGACAAATATTGTTTCTTTTACTCCACTACATATCTGTCAAGGTCCTTGAGTAGAAAGTAGTAACGTCAGTCAGTTGATGATTTTGGTTGGATATGAAATTCGGGTTGACATCAGCATCCAACATCGGACAGACGTTGGATCTTGGTTGGAAATGAAAGTCGGGTTGACATCAGAACCCAACTCTGACGTCAACCCGATTTTCATTTTCAACGGCTGTCCAACGTTGGAGATTAACGTCAATCTGACGTTGGATTCTGACATCAACCTGATTTTCATTTTCAACGTTGGGTTTGGTCTTCTAAATGCGAATTTTGTCATTGTTTTGGAGCACACTAGCTTATAGATAACAGTAAGGCTAACATATTCATACTAAAAGCCAAAAAACTTTAAATGAGGCACTATTTGAGGGAACAGCCCTTTGGGTGTCCGAAACCATTGTGGACGTTATTGAGAGCACTTATTCAATCTCACATTCAATCCCACTACTGGAACTGTGTTCTAGAAATCAATTTGATATTGATATGAGGGTAGGTAGGCAGGCATAGATTCAGAGGCATATTACATACAACAATAATAAAAACAATGCATTGACAGTTACTTTTGATACTTAAGTACTTTTTAAAACGAGTACTTCTGTACTTTTACATGTAACGGAGTAATATTTGACCAGTAGTATCTGTACTTTCACTCAAGTAAGGAAGTTGTGTACTTTGTCCACCTCTGAGTAGAAACATAACACATACACTACTGTCTAAAAGCCTGGGGTCGGTAAAGTCTCTTTTGCTCACTAAGGCTGCATTTAAATATTATTACAATTTAAAAGAACTGTTGTCTATTTGAATATATATAGGGACCAAAAACCCATGGTGCAAGGACCCTATTGAAATCGCTCTGTTTGATATTTTAAGATGTAATTTATTTCTGTGATGCAACGCTGAATTTTCAGCATCATTTGCAGCCTTCAGTGTCACATGATCCTTCAGAAATCATTCTAATGTGATGATTTGCTGCTCAAGAAACATTCCTTATTATTATCAATATCAACATTGACTGTTTTTAAAAACAATATTTTTGTGGAAATCATGATGCATTTTTTCAAGATTATTTGATGAATAGAAAGTTTAAAGGAACAGCATTGATTTGAAATACAAATCATTTGAAACATTATAAATAATTTCACTGTCCCTTTTGATCAATTTAATGTGTCCTTGCTAAATAACAGAATTAATATTCTTTAAAAACAATTAAAAATCATACTGACCCCAAACCTTTAAGTGGAAGCATGCATAATGCAACATAACAAATATGATCAATTTCAGTCTGTGGTGTGTCAAATGTCATTATATGCAGAATTTTAGGATTAACTTTGAAATGCATGGTGGCCCAAAAGGGCATAAATTAGCAAAAAAAAAAGTTTAAAAAATTGATTAAGCAAAATTTCTTCATGTACAGTTGTATTGATTTTTTTTCTTATTTTATACTTAAAAGTTTTTTAATATTACTTTTTATACATTTGTTGTATTTAAGTATTAATTATTGTCTTTCTTTCTTTCTTTCTTTCTTTCTTTCTTTCTTTCTTTCTTTCTTCATCATATGTGTTAAAATGCTGCATTTCTAGTTGCTTTGCAAATTTTTGTAGCAAATACCCAAGACAATCTTCTGTGCTCATAACATATTTAGTGCTATAAACAACCCATGAACATCATAGAGAACTGTCATCATAAGTCATTCTCAATCCAGCATCATGTCCCTCACAGTGCGAGGGAAAAAACACTGTAACCTTGGTCAATGGGTGGGCTGAAATATATTCCCCTTTCCCAAAGTCCACCTGGCACAGATAAGCAGAAAAAGCCAATCTCCAGATAGCCGGTGACTCCGGCCCATCCATCTCTCAAGGCAACACAACAGAAGATATTGAAATAATAACTCAGGGATTACCAATATGTCAGTGTAGAGCTTCCTCATCTCCTCACACCTCTTCATCAGCTGTCTGAAATCAGCCTCTTGCTTCTCGATGGCCATCTAGAGCGGGTGATAAAGGAACAGCAGGTGTTTCGGGTGTGCATTTTCCTTCTTTCCGTTTTTTGGAGAGGTAGCACTGGCATTCTTAGCGCTCTCATCCTCAGAGGATTTTCTTATCACTGATATTTCTCTCCAGCCAAACCACATCAGAAAAAGCTTTTATACAGTGAAAAGGTGTAACAAACCACAAGCTCACAAGGGTCTGCACTTCATACGATCTAAATTAACTTCCTTTCTCTATGGAGTTGTGCAAGAATGATACAGTACATTGGATTTTTTCTTTTTTCTTTTTTTTTTTAAGAATATCCTGGCCAGTCTTTTCAATATAATGGAAATAAATAAGGACAGGGGCTGTCAAGCTCCAAATGGACTAATAAAGAGCATAAAAGCATTATACTGTATTATATATTCTTTTGAAGTAATATGATAGCTTTGTGTGAGGTAGAGACTGAAATTTAAGTCATCATTCAGTGAGAAAAGTAGATTTGTCCAATATAAGTCATTCTTTTGAATCAGATCTTTTGATCCAGTTCACAAAATCAATCTAAATGATTAAATTCAACTCACTGACTTAGATCCGATCACAGTCATTATCAGCTCACTGAAACTGAGTGACGACTTAAATTGCAAAGACTTAGAATATATCGCCCAAATAGTATATACTGTATTCTTGCATCCTTTTGTAGAAAGGAAAAAAACTTAAATCCCCATTCATGGTTATTGCATGAAAAATAGAGACAAGTACATAATCATTTTCCACAGAAGAAACCACTTGAATAAATCATATTACTCAGAAAACATGACACTAATATCTCTGTTTTCTTTTAAATTCATATTCAGACCAAGTATGTGATGTACAATAACACAAAGCAAAAATAATTGGGTAAACCTGTAAATTTACCTTCAAGTCTTTGACGAATTTGGGGTGCTGATTGGCCGCTGTGTTTTTCCGTTTTTGTGCTTTCCTGTACTGGATGACCTTCTGAAACTCGTTCTTCACGACTAAATAGTGACAAGGGGGGGATCTCTGTTTGAGGAAATTTGTAATGGAGTAGCTAAACTCTATGAATAAAATTGCAATGCTTTCATGCATTAATGCACAAGCAAGCCAAGCAGCAACAGGTTTGAATCGAACGCTCAGCTGATTAAAAAGTTATAAATTGTATGAAATGCCTGACCACACTTGAATATAACAGTGAAAGGGTTTGTTGATATTCTGAAAGCAAAAGTGCTCAATCAAGCATCTACAAAACAAGCTTGGTGCAGCAGCATCACAGAATACATCAGATAAGACCACGTACCATCCACCTCTGCTGTTAGACCTTTAACCGAAGCTGCAGGAAAACCACAGAAACACACAATCAGAAGGCATTCAATCAAATCAGCCTCAAAAACATCTATCACATCTTCCCTTCCAATGAAATTTTGATTAGAGTACCGCCAGAAGCAGTCTCGAATTCTGCAAGCTCCAGGAAAAAGGTGGCCAAACGTGGTTCTCGCAACATGATCTGCTCCACAAGGGCATGCAGCAAGGTGAACTTCCGATTGTTCCCGCGCAGCTGAGAAAGCTGGAAAAAGGAGGGAAAAATAATGAATGTGTTTATCCATGCACCTGCACTTGGAAAGAAGATGGTACATTTGCTGTGTTCCGAAACCTATTGAGCTGCCTATGTAGGGAGCATTTTAATGCATCATAGACACTTTTTTGACACTTTGTTTTCCATTAAATACAGAAAAAAAGAGTTAATAAAAATATTATTTGATATAATTCATATGTATAACAATAAACAAATTTAAAACATATTATATAATTAAAATATGTATGTAAAATATGATAAAAATTTTCTTATTTTATGATAGATTTACTTTGTGTCCAAAACCTAGTGAGCTCCTTATGTAGGCAGCATTTTAAAGCATCATAGAAACTTATTTTGATTTAGCCAAATTGCAGTGAAGGCATTCCCAGAATTGCATTGTGACAAACTCGGTGAAAAATGAATAAAATATATTCAAGATGGCAGAAGAGAAATAACTATAAATAAACTTGTATTCCATTTAATGCTGACAAACTAGTTTTTACATTTAATATAATATAAATATATAAATAAGTATTGTTTTATATATTAAAAATGTGTGTGATACGTGTTTTAATGCTTATTAATGCCATTAGCAGCATATTAACAACAAATTCTATTGGAATCAATTGTCTGTCAAGTGCCGAGTGCTATTTGTGTGACATAGAGATTTGCCAATGTGTTCCAAATTGGTCACTTATAATGTTCCATAACAATCGGGATGCTTTCTTAAAAGGTAGCTGTCTGTGTTGGCAGTAGGGCAGAGGTTTGGGAACGATTGGTCATTTATCCCCAATCAAATGTCCCATCTGACCAGAGGGTGTTATATTTAGAGGATCAGGTAAACAAATATTTATCTTGGGTGTGAGTGTGCATTTGTGAGTATTTATGCACGCACATGCACGCATTTCTGAATACCAATACCTTGCCCAAGGCCAGAGAAAGAGCGAGGTTTGACAATTCAACACCCACGTGCATATTACCATTAACTAAAAATGGAGGATAATGTCCTTGTACCGAAAAGCACCTCTATTGTGCACATGTGAAAAACCGGTTAACGTTTTTCCAAAAGGATCTCCTTGACATCTGAAGGTTCTGCTCTCTGATTAACCACAGACACAATAAAAATGCTGTTGGAGTACCGCAGCCTCGCACGAGTGTTTTTAAAGATTGGGAATTTGTACAGCAGGCTAAAGGGTGATAATGATAAGGAATGCATATCTTGAGTCATCATGCAGAATAAATATAGTTGCTAATTCACAAAGGTTTAAAGCTGCAGTCGGCAAGTCTGGCAGATTGAGTGGATTTAGGCAAAATTTTGAATGTTTACAACTCTCATGCCCCTCCCCCACTATCAACGGATACCCTCCCACCGAGTTCGTGCTCGTCAGTGCGTGTGCACCAGGTTATCTGTGAACGCGCCCGTCTCATCAGCAGTATTTGGAGGTATGCTGCCCTGGCTAATCTACCGATAGATTGCAATTGCTAACGTCATTTATACTCTAAATGAGCTTACTTGATTTGTTAGTGTTTTGAAAGCGAGATACATCCACCATCACTCTTCGTTACTGCGCGAACTTCAGGCGTGTGCATGTGATTGTAACGTGCGCGAGGGGTGGCGTGTGCCCGATCTGTGATTGACAGTCAGATCTCACACCCCCCTGCGCTGATTGGACCCGATGATCCGGGAGCTGTGAATTTTTGCAAAACAAATAACACGCTCCAGGTGGAGTTAGAAGCTCGGGTTTTTTTCTAAAACCACTTTATTTATGTTGTTCTGTCGGATTATAGTGTCGATTTCACTGAATATGATTAAAACAAATTGCCGCTGCCGTCGGTAACTTTTGTAAAAAATATTTTTTACATATTTGTTAAAACTGTCATTATGTCCTGACAGTAGAATATGAGACAGATAATCTGTGAAAAAAATCAAGCTCTTCTGGCTCCTCCCAGTGGTCCTATTGCCATTTGCAGAAATACACGCTCCCGGTCAGAACAACCAATCAGAGCCAGGAGGAGTGTCTTAGCAGTGTCAATCACGCTCGTGTACGCGCTGATCACACCCCTCTCTTGCACAGCGCGAGCGCCGGAGCGCGAGCCGTCGTTCAAACTCAAGATTGCCGGCGTGCTGCAGCTGTGCTTATGATGGAGAAACAACCTAAACTGCCCATTCTCGAGTGACACCTGCTCATAAAACAAAGAGGTAAAAGGAAAAAGACCGATGACGATAAACAAGCGAAAAAGAAAAAATTACACAGAGCCCATTGACTCGGTGTCAAAACTCTAGCCGCACAACATGTAGATAAAATGTCACGCACTCTGCTAAGCAAAAATTGAAACCTGCTAATTCACTGGCTTGTCATGTTGCTGAAATAATGTACTAGCACACCTTATCTAGCATTATATATCGCTAGAATAATTACTTGCATACTGTAACGTTAGTTACCGTTATATTAGCGTTATCTTACTAGCTATTTATAACTTATAGAAAGAGTGCAACGTTATAAAGTTACATGTAGGCTATTGGAAAATACATAATGATTTGAGAACCAAGTTTGTAGTCAAAGTATGGGCAGGCCATAGTCAATGTAAAGCATATTATTGACGTTTAGTCCCTATTAGTGAATGTGCCATATAACTTTTTATCCGCTGTTATTGGTGGCCCTGTTTACTAGCCTAAAATTTGAACAAGCACAACTTACAGGTCCCACCCCCTTGCTCTCTGCTGCGCTACAGCCCTCCCTCCACAGCGGAGCCTGTCGTGAACGCGCAGCAGAGAGCAAGGGGGTGGGACCTGTAAGTTGTGCTTGTTCAAATTTTCAGGCTAAGTCAACGTTTTCTCAAAACTCCCTACTGCAGCTTTAACACTTATCAAATGGTAATGTGAATCATTTAAAGGGACAGTTCACCCAAAAATAAAAAAAAATCTGTCATCATTTACTTACCCTTGTTCCAAACCTGTATGAATTTCTTTCTTTTCTTTTCACAAAAGAAGATATTTTGAAGAATATTAACCAAACCAACCATAAGTATGAATAAGTAACCAAACAGCTGATGAGCCCCATTGACTTCCATAGTATGGGGGAAAAAAACACTATGGAAGTCAGTGGGGTCCATCAACTGTTTGTTTACCCATATTCTTCAAAATATCTTCTTTTGTGTTCAACAGAAGAAAGAAACTCATACAGGTTTGGAACAACTTGAGGGTCAAGTCAAGTCACCTTTATTTATATAGCGCTTTTTACAATACATATTGTATCAAAGCAGCTTCACAGTGATAACATGAAAATAATACAACAAAGTTTGTTTCTAGAAGAAAATTGCGTCATCATCCACCTTAAGTAAGGCAGATCAATAATATTGTTGAATATTAAATTAAATGTCCCCAATTAAGCAAGCCAAAAGCCAAGGCAACAGTGGCAAAATGAGTGGCGTATCATTTACGCACCAAAAAGGGTGCGAAAAAAATGACAACAGAATAAAACATTTTGGGTGAACTATCCCTTTAAGCACTGAAAATTCATAAAATAGTGCTAAACACAAAACAATCCTATCTAAATTGCATCCTCTTAAAATAAATAATATGTAAAGCGAGTGTGCATGCCACAAAAACCAGAGAGCATGTTCAAGAGTGATTGTTTCAACTGATCTTCATATGAAGAGGCCTGTAGAGAACAAGAGTGGCGATATATCAAGCTCTCTAGACCCATTCTTTATGGTAATGCATGTAGACATGAAACCACTGCAACAATTTCAACAGCCGCTAATTTAAAACTCACAGGGGGCTAAATGCTAATCTTCAGATGGGTGGAAAATTGGGCTATACTCTGTTTCCAGTTTGTTTTGTTTACCATTTCAATCCCCGGACCCATTCTACAGAACTAAAAGATGACCTGGAGGCATCAAATACACTGTTTGTTCAAAGCTTAGGCTTAGTTCAAAAAGGATCTCTCATATTTTGCAGTTTCAAAAAGTCCAAAAGTTTTGGGTCAGTAAGATTCTTGACTTTTATTCAGCAAGGATGCATTAATATTGATGAAAATCATGGAAGGAAGGAGAAATGATCATGGTTTCCACAAAAATATGAAGCAGCACAACGGTTTTCAACATTGATAATAATAATAAATGTTTCTTGAGCAGCAAATCAGCATATTAGAATGATTTCTGTAGGATCATGTGACACTGAAGACTGGAGTAATGATGCTAAAAAATCAATTTTGCATCACAGGAATAAATTAAATTATAAAATATATTAAAATAGAAAACATTTATTTTAAATTGTAATAATATTTGACAATATTACTGTTTTTGCTGCATTTTTGGTCAAATAAATGCAGCCTTGGTGAGCATAAAAGACTTTCAAAAACATAAAAAAAATCTATCAAACCCCAAACCTTTGAATGGTAGTGTATTAAATATTGATTTCAAGTTATTTTATGTGATGGGAAAACGAGAGATGGGATTTAAAAGAAACATAAAACAACAGTTATTTATACAATTTAGCTGTGATTATACAAAAATATCTGACTGTAAAATTCTACAATTGACCAATCAGAATCAAATATACATTTAAGCCTGTCAAATATACGTTTAAAATACATATTGGTCTTAAATGTTGTGATATCTTCAAATTTCATACACTGGTAACAAAAATATGATATATTAAATGATATTTTTGAAAATTGTAACTGCCCTGTAAAGTTATACTTCATCATAGAGTAAGAATGCTGTTCTCGTCCTTCTATGTCGTGTTCCTATGGAGGAAGCACAGAGATGGTGCGCTCATTAGCAAAGGAGGAAGTCATTCAGCTTATTGTGAAAGTGCCCTTAAATCTTGCCACTGAGGAACTGGGTTTTCAGCATCCTGGCCGCAAAAATCGATACAAATTACCACCATGTGTCGCTAATGACTCAGCGAGCTCGGGAAAAAAGCCATGCCGCGTGGCTAATGAATTGGGCCTCTGCGGCAAGAGTTTGTAGAAATGAACAAAGAGAAACTCATAGGTACTGCATGTCTGATTTGTGTAGTGGATGGAGTCATAAAAACGTGACAAACCCATAGGGTATTGGGAATTATGTCACAATATGATACACGTCGCAATACATATATGCACAGAGTGCGACAACAGGGTTCTGGAAATACTAGCTTTGCGTTAGTTCTGTCGGGATGACTTGTTCAGGTACGTCACTCATGCGTAAATTAGGTATCCGTAATTAAGAGTAATTACTTCACTCATTCATTTTGTATTTCTTAAACAGCTTGTTTTTGAGTCTTTCTGGTAGAACTTAAAATCTTATTCACTTTCTCTATAAGTAAATGGATTTTTAGCATTAATGTTTTAAGACAGACTGACCATAATCATTGCGGTTGTTAAGCAATGATTTATGCTTTTGAAGCTTTTGGAAACTAAAAAAAAAAAAAAAAAAAAACACAGCAATTGCCCACTCCAATGAAGTACTGTGAATGATGTAATTGAGTCATTCGCTCTACACTATAAAATTACTTATTTATTTATTTATATATGAATATTTTTAATACATTTACAAAATACTGTATTTTATCTTTAGGGTACAATATGAATGCAAGCTAAAATTAATAAAAAGAATCGCAATATATCAATTAATTAATTAATTTATCAGTAAAAGAAGTCTCATGCTCACCAAGGCTGCATTTATTTGATAAAAAAAAAGTAAAAACTGTAACATTATGAAATATGATCATCATTTAAAATAACTGTTTTCTATTTTAATATATATATATATATATATATATATATATATATATTAAAAAGTAATGTATTCCTGTGATCAAAGCTGAATATTCAGCATCATTACTCCAGTCTTCAGTGTCACATGATCCTTCAGAAATCACTCTAATGTGCTGATTTGCTGCTCAAGAAACATTTATTATTATTATCAATGTTGTGGACACCACATTGCATTTTTTAAGGATTCTTTGACTGAATAGAAAGTTCAAAATAACAGCATTTATTTGAAATAGAATTATTTCGTAACATTATAACAGACTTTAAAGTGACTTTTGATCAATTTAATGCAACTTTGCTGGATAAAAGTATTTCTTAAAAAAAACACTACTGGTTTTGAATGGTAGAATATGTGAGAGTGTGTATTTCAGGAGATTTTTTTGGTTCATTTGTGTGCAAAGCTGTGAGCACAACACAGTGTGACTAAAAACAGAGACTGCTACTTGCTGAAAACAGGAAAACCATAACTCATATTATTAGTTAATGCTGTTACCAAGGCTGAACAGATAGAACAAAGAAAGAAAAAGAGAGAGAGAAATAAAACCTGTATGCCAATAAGATGTTTTATTTGCCCTGCTCTCCTCGCCATTGCCCAAAGGTCATTTGCTGGCGGTGCGGGTCCTACCTTAGTTAAGGATGAGAGGCGGAATCCCTTGGTCCTGTCCTTGCCTGCGTTCTGGTTGAGGTAATTGCCCACAGCCAGAAGGTACTCCAGCACACTGACAAATGGCTCACAAGCCCACAGCTGCTGGCACATACGGATCTTCTGGATAATCAGCTGCAAGACAAACAGAGAGGCCAGAACATGTCATCTCCAACTAATCCAACTGCAAACTTTTCCCTGCCTCTCACTTAACAGCCACAGACACTTAAGCACAGCCGGATTTCTCAGCGGTCTTGTTGACACAGAGCGTTCTTGTCAAGTGTATATCAGAGCCTACACTGGAAGTGCTGTAATATATTATTTGAAGCTGGAAAGAAAGTTAAACCTGAGGATTGATAGCCGTTAGGTTAAGGGGTTCTTACTGAGGTAACAAGTATAAGGTGTACAATCAACGACTGCCATTCGTCAACAAGACACTTAAATCAGTGCTATTACAAAGAGTGCTAGACAAGTATACGTGCTAAATCAAAACTCTGGGACAGAATGGTGTGTGACTAATGTTGATATTACAGAAAATGGTGCCAGTGGATAATCTATTTAAAGTCAACATGAAATCAAAATTGACCCTGTTTACTTACTTAATGCAAGTTCCTGTTAAAACTTTTTTTTTTTTTTTATTGTTTGTAATTGTTTATTAAAATACAATGGCTTGTTCGGCCTTTGTAACAACATTCAGCTAACATCATCTCAGGAAAAATAACAGCTATTTCATCATTGTTTTAGGCTACTGTTGTAAGTAATGCTTATTTTCTAAAAGCTAGTTAATGCAGTAAATAAATGCTGGGTAATGCAATAACGGCTGTGATAAAAGAAAATAATAATAACAATAATGATAAAATAATGAATAATAATATAAAAACATTTTAGAGAATGAATCAATGAATGAATCAATGAATGAATGAATCAATCAATCAATCAATAATGCTCTAAGTGATTCACAGGTCAGAATATAAAATAATTTAAAATAAATAAACAATATCTGTTAAAAAAAAGATTTGATATAATAAAAATGGCCTGCAAATGACGTTTCATGCTAAAAAATGGTCACAGGTTTTCACAGTGATGTACACAGGGCTGGACACTAACTGTTTTGCTCACCAGCCACTGTGGCTAGTGGTTTGCGTGAATACTCGTTAAGACCGGCATTTTTACATTATTTTGTGTGTCTTTGACTGTTTAAGTGCAATAAGCAGCGAAAAAGAACTCTATTTAGTACTGAGAGGCAGTTTTATGTGCACGCATTTTGGGTGTGAGCTCAAAATTTGTAGGAATGAGTAAAATTATGATCAAAACAAGCAATTCCATGCTAAAATCCAAGCCCTGTATCCAACAATATTCATCTGGAGCAAATGAATCGAGTGAGTGAGGGGAGGCGGGTTTCTGTGTAACTCGCTGTCGGAGAGATGAGAGAGAGAGAAAGCTCAGCTGGTGTCGTGTGTCTATTCTGCGGAAAATGAGTATTGGTAGCGTTTCAGATATTTCAGTATCGATGTGTATCGAAAAATCTATATTTTTGACAACACTACATTTCACTTAGTTTATTATTTCAGGTGCCCTTTTAAAAGACTACAATTGAAAAATGTCTATATTATATATAAAATGCAAGCCGCCAAAGTGGCTAGTAGGAGTGACTGCGTTACACGCCACTGCTGAAATACACCCGCATTTGGCTGGTAGGCGGGTGTTAAAGGGTTAGTTCACCCAAAAATTAAAATGATGTCATTAATGACTCTCCCTCATGTCGTTCCAAGCCCGTAAGACCTCCGTTCATCTTCGGAACGCAGTTTAAGATATTTTAGATTTAGTCCGAGAGTTTTCTGTCCCTCCATTGAAAATGTATGTACGGTATACTGTCCTTGTCCAGAAAGGAAATAAAGACATCATCAAAGTAGTTCATGTGACATCAGCGGGTTAGTTAGAATTTTTTGAAGCATCGAAAATACATTTTGGTCCAAAAATAACAAAAACTACGACTTTATTCAGCATTGTATTGTCTTCCGGTTCTGTTGTGGATCCGCGTTCACGAGTCCGCAGTGACGCTGCTGACGTAAGACGCTGCTGACGTGTGTGTGGTGCGTCCGTGTATTCGGGTACAAATAAATATGGCTGGGCAAAAAAATGCAAGTCTTCCTCTGTGTCGAAATCCTTAGACATGTTTGGGAAGATTGTTTTGTTTCCAGCGTGCGTCTCCCTCAGACTGTAAACGAAGCTCGGGTGCACCAGATACACGTCAGCAGCGTCTTACGTCAGCAGCGGCACTGAACGCGGATCCACAACAGAACCGGAATACACACACACACACACACCAGACACACGTCAGCAGCATCTTACGTCAGCAGCGTCTTACGTCAGCGGCGGCACTGAACGCGGATCCACAACAGAACCGGAATACAATACAATGCTGAATAAAGTCGTAGTTTTTGTTATTTTTGGACCAAAATGTATTTTCGATGCTTCAAAAAATTCGAACTAACCCACTGATGTCACATGGACTACTTTGATGATGTCTTTATTTCCTTTCTGGACAAGGACAGTATACCGTACATTCATTTCCAATGGAGGGACAGAAAACTCTCGGACTAAATCTAAAATATCTTAAACTGTGTTCCGAAGATGAACGGAGGTCTTACGGGCTTGGAACCACATGAGGGTGAGTCATTAATGACATCATTTTCATTTTTGGGTGAACTAACCCTTTAATGTCAAGCCCTGGATGTACAGATACCAAAAAGCATACATGTCCATATTCACACCAATGCACTTAGAAATAAATTGCATTTGTGAAAACTAAACTCACAGTGGATCAGGATACAGACTGAATCAGTAATATTCCCAGAACCACACTGGATTACTTCCAATTAACTTCATCAAATTAGATATACCATATTTATTGAGGCTGTCTGATTAACATTCCTATTAATACCACAAGTAACAAGTTTATGGTTCTCTTGGGGCAAAGCCCTTGGGATTTAGCCAAGATAAACAGGTTTGACTGAAAGGAGTTTGGGAACGGCATTGTGAGCTGCTTTTTTAAATTTCCATCCCTGTTTGTGGTATTAGTGTTATTTTTCAACTCGTTTAACAATCTGGTGTAGGCTACTGAACCCCTGAGCAAATAGCAAGAGCAGAGACAGCATCTGAAGGAAAAAGTCCAGACACACAGCTTGAGTTGACGTCTACGATATATGAGACAAACCATATGCTCATCTATTTCCATCGTAACCTCAGCCTCAATCCATTACCTTCGAGCCCTCTCCTTCATTTCTACCTGGTGATTCACACCCTTAAACACTAATTTAACCAAATGCTTATCAAGTCCCAGTGGGTGGAAACTTCCGCTAAGCTTCTTTGCAACACTCAAAATGAGTGATCTTCTTGCATTTTTTTACTCTAGTTCTCTCAAACTCCTGTGTTTCGGTAACCTCATGAGCTCTTTGAGCATTGCACGCTCTCTGTTTACTAAAAGCTCACAATGCCACAAGGAGTTAGCATTCCTCAGACAGCTTTTAGACAAAGCACAACACACCTAGAGAGCTCTTCAGTATTCCCCACTCTAAGCCAGACCAATTTTCCACCCTATAGCACCCAGCCTGTCAGATGGTGGCTAAATCCGCCTTAATGTTACAGGTTTAAAAAGTCAACCATGTCAGACAATCCCATGGATTTAATAGCAGGGGTGGAAACAGAAGCCTGAGTACTTGTTTTGGGAGCTCTTAACAATGGAAGACCTTTTCGTGGGGTCCAAAGTTACACTATAACATTTTCAGACACAAATATAGCATGGATCTTAAAAGGGATAAGATCACCCAAACATGATGACTCATGACGTTCGAAACCTGTATGACTTTCACAACACAAAAGAAGATATTTTGAAGAAAGTTGGGGTCAAAATAAACACTGACAACATTGGACCCCATTGACTTTCACTGTATTGACAAAAAATGTATGTTCCACAGAAGAAAGTCATATCAGTTTGAAACGATATGAGAGTAAGTAAAAGATGAAAGAATTTTCCAATTTGGCTGAATTATCCATTTATTTAATCTTATGTTCCTTTAAAGTGAACATGAAATCAAAATGCGCTCAGTGCAATAAATCGGTGCAATTACTCCAAAAAAGATAAATATATATATACTCTAATAGCTGACAAGACCATATATAAATAATGTTAAGCCCTAACCAAATAGCTATTAAGGAATTTTATATTTCTGTTGTAAATAATGCAGCAGTTCAAAAATCTTTTAGAAATACTTAGCATTTTAATGCTTGTTAACATGAATCTAATAAAAGTTATCAGAAAAACAGCAAATAGTGGAAGATTAGGAAAATAAGCATTATCAGACCTAAAAGGGTCAGCATGACATTAGAATGTTAATTTCTAAATTTGTAACATTTAAATTGATAAAATATAAATACATTAACATTAACTTGTTAAGGATAAACACACATTAACAATGACTAATAGTATGTTTATAGATTAAAATGAACCTAGATTAATAAATGCTGTAAAAAGAAGATTGTTCATTGTTAGTTCAAGACACTTAAAGGAGAACTACGGCACAAAATGAACCTTTGGTCTAATAAAACATTGGTACCTAGTCAACCGTTCTCTGAGATTTGTTTTTCATGATAATCGAATGTAAAGAGTTTTATCTCTAAAAACTGTTTAGCGTATAACGCTAGTAATGGGGGCATATAATAAGTAAAAAGAAATCGCTAGTTTATACCACTAACAAGACTCAAAATAGCCCCACACTAACACAGTAACATAATGAGGGTCCCTACATGCAAAACGAAGCATTGAGAACTTTGTAAGTGTACAGACCGTTTAATAAGAAGATAAAGATAAAGACAGCCACTTCGTGTAAACAGACAGACAGGAGCCATCTTTGGAAAACAGTCTCGACTAATCAAACCACGAACGACGTGCTAAGCAGTGATGGGAATAACGGCGTTATTAACGGCATTACTTTTTCCAGTAATGAGTAATCTAATTGATTACTCTTCTCATCTTAATAACGCCATTCCCGTTACTGCCAAAAAATGCGGCGCGTTACTATAACTGATGAAGCTGGGTTTTTTTTTTCATCAGACCAACTAGATCTCTGAGCGAGAGGCAAATACTTTTTTTACTGTTCTTCCTTGGTTAGTGGGCAGAGCACGAGACAAGCGCATAAATGCTGACGACTGAGGTAGAGTAAAATGTCATTGTAAGCCAATCAGAGGTAGAGTTGGGCGGGTGTTCGAAAGCACGCATAGTAGTAGGCATTCGGCACTTTTGACTCAGCTCACTGAAAAGAGCCGGCTCTTTTGGCTCACAAACGGCTCTTTAAATGACTTTGACTATAATATATATATTTTTTTTTACATAATTATTTAATTTCTATAGGCTAAATCTGTAAAAATAGAGTCGGCTCTTCAGATATGCGAGCCAGCTCCCGACTTTAACCTAAAAGAGCCGGCTCTTAGAGTCGCCTCATTCGCGAATCGCGAACGACCCATCAAAAGCTCATTCGCGAACGAGTCGATCCATCATCACTAACGCTCATTCGCGAACGACCCATCATCACTAACGGCTAACGCTCATGAATTGCGAACGACCCATCATAACGCATAGTCGGATAGGACAGGACACACAATGAACAACACAAGCAAGCCAGTCAGTCAACGAGAGACAGGTAAGGCGACGAGCTTAACAAGCTTAATTTAATTTTGCCCAGTTGTGGCCTGTTGAGGGGCAATAAATATCAAAAGTTCCAAAACATCTATTGTGTTATTTGCATTGATCCACTATATAAACATAATATCTACATGGCATTTGATTGGAGGCTAGTCTCACTTTGTCCCACAGCAACATTTTTTTTTTTTTTTGATGTGTGTACAATGTTTCATGTTTCTGTTAATAATGTATTGTATTAAGTGTCCATTTCATTATAATATTCAGATTTATCATAAATAATTGAACATGCACATGTATTGTGAGTTCCGTTAAAGAGGGGTAGAGGTGGGGTCACATTTGAGCCTTTAAAATTTAATTTTACTTGAAAGTAACGCAATAGTTACTTTCTTAAGTAACTAGTTACTTTTAAAATTTGTAACTGAGTAACTAATTTAGTTACTTTTTGGAAGTAGTAACTAGTAACTGTAACTAATTACTTTTTAAAAGTAACTTGCCCAACACTGGTGCTAAGTGAGCTGAACTGTATGAAGTTCAGTGAACTTCTGAACTGAATGAATGGCGTTCGTGGTTTGATTAGTAGAGACTGTTTTCCAAAGATGGCTCCTGTCTGTATACACGAAGTGGACTGTCTTTATAAAATATCTTCTTATGAAACGGTCTGTACACTTACAAAGTTCTCAATGCTTCGTTTTGCATGTAGGGACCCTCGTTATGTTACTGTGTTAGTGTGGGGCTATTTTGAGTCTTGTTAGTGGTATAAACTAGCGATTTCTTTTTACTTATTAAATGCCCCCATTACTAGCGTTATACGCTAAACAGTTTTTAGAGATAAAACTCTTTACATTCGATTATCATGAAAACAAACTCAGAGAACGGTTGACTAGGTACCAATGTTTTATTAGACCAAAGGTTCATTTTGCGCCGGAGTTCTCCTTTAAGGCATTAACTGAGGTTAGAGAATTGAACCTTGTAAAGTGTTATAGAAATATGGGTAACACTTTACAATAAGGTTCCATTAGTTAATGTTGGCTAATGCATTAAATACAAATTAACTAACAATGAGCAAATTCATTTGTTACAGTATGTATTAATAATTGTTAATGTTAGTTAATACAAATACAACTGTTCATTTTTCACATTTGTACATATTCGTCAAAGTGGGAACGATTCAAATGTCTACTGCTTCCGGCATCTTTGACGAAAGTCAGTGACACCACTGAACAGAGCAAGGTGGACAGAACAGCAACATCGGCTAAAACAGCTGTCAATTCCCTGAGGCGAAAAAACGTAAGCCCTTACTGACACCCAAATGCTGAGTCAAGCCTATTTCTATGCCATATAACACCCATAACCTCTGTAAAAATCCCCGACACGTCCATGATCCTGACCTCTCCACACTTACTGGCTTAAACTTCCAGCCCCTGTCCAGTACATAATCATCTGTTCACACAGAAAAAGCTTCTGAAGACGAATGTCACATCTCGCATACCTTTAAAACACTACATTAGTTCATTAGAGGGATTTCGGAGCACTTAACATGAGAGTGAAATGCATTGCTGCAGAATAGAGGAGCCAGGTGGGTATAAGGGACTCAAATAAAAACGAACTTTTGAGATGCATTGAAAGTACAAGAGGGATTTACAACTTTCTTCTTTTTTTTTTTACTCACAGGTAGAAAAAGCCTTCAGAGTGCTCTTTGGGTTACATCTCCTTCTCCCCGGCACTACCTCTCTCTAACTAATAAATGACTTGAAGGAAATTTGCCATTAGAAACTCCTTCAGCCCACTCTAAGTGCTGATTCGTTGGGAACAGAGCCCCTGTGTATTAATGCATGATTCTTTTTTCACCTAAAGTCCATTTCATTTATTTTTTTCCAAGCACCAAGCTGACAAGATTATCTTTTGCATTAGTAAATTATCTTTTTATTCTTTCTTTTTCGCTCTTTTTTTTCAGCTGTGTGCCTCAGGAGCCACTGTTGCGAAGCTTTAATACTGATTTCCTCCAGACGTACTGTGAGACCCGAGTTCACATGAGATTGTTTTTCCACAAACAAACTTTTCATTTTCTTCTTCTGTCAATCATAATCATCAGTGCAGTACTATTCTAACTGCGAAACAAATGCCAGCACAACCACAAACATGCAAATGAATACATACACACACACCACATGCTGTTTATCAGAACTTAAAGGTAATAATGAATGCATCCAAAAGTGCCTCTCTTTTCTTGTATCATCTGAAAAAAAAAAGCCTTCTATATTGGCAGCGTATTCTGAATGAGCCCTATCGGTAAGTAATTCAGTAGAGTTCAGAGAAAAAGAGAGGCAAAAGAAAAGAGCAACCGAGACAGACTGACACAAACATGACTGACAGGTGCATATGAGGTGTTTGTAATGCGAGTCTGACCGGCGTGAGGTCCTCCATACAGATGGGCAGCTCTCGCAGCGTGAGCAGCAGGTCCAGGCGGGCGCTCAGGTCCGGGATGTTACACATCTGAGGAAGAGGTGATATATCAGGAGACGGGCCTGGACAATGTCACAAAGATATGCAGCGACACCTTCACACATGCTCTGCTTGGTTCGTACGGGTGAATCTCACAAATTGAAAATGAAATAATCCAGGTCATATTTCACACCAAAGTCAAAAGCGAACAAAAACCAAAAAAGGACTCCTTTAAACACTTTACTACATGTTAAGATTAGTTAATGCATGAAGTAACATTGAACAATACATTTTTATAGCATTTATTAATTAATAAACTAAATATTAAAATATATTACTTTATGTAGAGATCATTTTTTTGCACTTTGATGCCTTATTTTCATGACAATTAAGTGAAATTTTATTTTACTGTTTATTTTTTCATTCACATTATTTTTAATGGGGATTCTCATTATTGTAATACAGTATTACATGCAAAAATAATGTATCAATTCTATTTTTATTAAAATCAGTAAATTAGTTATAGGTGGTACAACACATACCTATGGATGTTTAAGTACTTTTCTATTTAAAAAAAAAAAATACTTTCTCCCGTTATGGTAATGAAATAGATTGTTGTGCATTATATGCTCTTGAGAATTTGGCAGGAAATTAGCTTAATTTTCAAGAAAATAATGTCACAATAAAAAAAAATAAAAAAAAAATGATCCTGGTTTTTATTAAACAGAACATACTTTATAATTTTGGTCTTTTGATATTGGGGTGAAATATGACATGTTTTTGACATGTTCCCTGAGATTCATTCATACACATTCAACAGGTTCCCAGATATCAGCTGAAATACAACGCATCATGTATTGCACTCAGGTTATCCACACACATATATATTTCAAGGTAAAGACATTTATATTTTACATGTTTTATGTATTATTTATCTCACATATCTGATGCAAAGTGACCACCACTGCTGGAAGGTGTTCTAGTAAGATATCATTATGCAGGAACGATGTTTGCCGAAAATTGTGAAACACTAAAATTCCAGCCTCAAAACTTTGGAACGGACTAGCACTGTACCGTAATTAATGTATCACAAACGGCATGTCCACGGTTGTTAAAATTACTAAAGATTAATCTGAAACAGAAGACAGCAACTGCTAAATTCTCTTAAAAAATCCTTTTATCAAGACGTGTGGTTCATTTGCAGTGTGAAGATGAAGGTGAAGAAATTCAAACCAACAGCTGTCAAATTAAATCCCCTCATGGATTTTTCACATAATGAGGATCAGAAGAATTCGATGCACTTAGACACATGAAAACATGGCCCTGTGCACATGGCCCAGAATCTGTAGGTAATGTATAATGCGGATTAAAATACATGAGAGATTTGGAACCAATACATGAGAATCTACACATAATGGGACGCTTTTAGAAAAAACAGAGTAATACTCATTAATGTCAACAACAATGTCTGGATGAATCTCATGAAGCCTGTTAAGAACATATCAGACATGTTTCACCCCAAAAGTAAAATAAATAAAATAAGAAACTATATTTTGCAATTGAAACTTGTTTTGCACCATTATTCATTTAGAATTGTGATATTAAGCACATTTTCTCAAACAGTAATGCAAAAAAAAATTGTGAAGGCACAATTCTTAGTATTTATAAAGTACTTACACATCATGGGCCATATCATACACTAGCATTGTTGGCGTGTAAATAGCGAATACGCCATGTTGCGAGCACAACTGGCATTTAAAGGGAATGGGAGATGCGGCTCTGATTGTTTTTGGCACGTTACGCCCAAAACACACTCATTACTCATTAAGAGAATAGGGACAACACTTTTAGACCATGCGCTGGGCATCGTTAAACTAGCAAAAGTGCAGGGCCGGCGATTGCTATAGGCGAACTAGGCGATCGCCTAGGGCGGCAAATTTGTTGGGGGTGCGGCGCACTCTAGTGTCGCCCTTTGCCTACTTCCCATTAATCATAGAATTAGAATGATAAGCGAAATAAAACATGTTTATTAAACATGATCATCATAAGGCGCCCCTCAGCCACACGTTTAATTACTTGTCAACTTAATTATTAGATTGAATTGATGATTATTGTCGATCATTTCCTAACGGGGGAGGGGGGAGTTGCGTTGCGTTACGTTAGGTTAAGTTAGGCAAGGCGAGTGCTGGCGCGTTGATCGAAAATGAAGCACAGGGAAGAAAAGGAGAAAGGAACAAGATAAAAAGCATGGGCCGACGTGCTTTTTGGGCCGATACATCTCATACTTTTATATATTTATTTATTTTTTGTCTGAACGGCCCATAAAACTCGTACATCGGCGGCTCATTCGTTTTGTTTTGTTTAATTGGTGGCGCTGGGTTATAACTTGCTTTCAAGTATAGAAATGTGTACAAAACTTATTAGGCTATGAAAGTTTCCTTTATTTTTATTATTGCATTTGTTTTACAAAAATGGCTATTACTGTCATGGGATTAATATTATAACTATTATTATACAGTAGTGTAATGTAGACAGACACTGTAACAAAATAATAATAATAACCTTTATTTTATAAAGCGCCTTTAAAAGCAGCTTCTCAAAGCGCTGTACAGGTCTAAACAATGGGCAATTGTTTTAAAAAAAACACATCAACAAGTGAATGCAAGTTTAAAAAAGTATGTCTTAAGTTGACCTTTAAAAATGGCATAAGACTGGGCTTCCCTAAGTTCAATAGGCAGAGAATTCCAAAGGACAGGTGTTAAATTCATCAATCTGGTGCACTTTGAGAGTTCAAAATTAAAAGCTCCAACCCATATTCAGTGTGCAAATTTAACAGAGAGAAAATTAAAATGCACAAAATTTTCTTAAACCCCCTTAGCTTTGTAGCAGCCCATTAGATTATGGTGGTAGAAATTGTAATTTATCTACAAGTTACATGGTCCGATAAAATGTGGGGGGCAAAACTTAATCTCGCCTAGGGCAACCAGAGGGCTAGAGCCGGCCCTGCAAAAGGGGATTCGGACACGACCTAAGTGTGCTTGCGCCGTGCGCTTTAGACCATGCGCAGATCGTTAAAATAGGGACCCATATATTTACAAAGATGGTAGTATATAATAGTATACATTTCTTCAATTTATGTTGATTTGAAATATACACACGCACGTACGTACATACATACTGTATATTACATCCGTTATTTCAGCGATTAACCAGAACGTGATGTCTTTACCTCCATCATGTACTGGTCCACCACATGCAGTTCAGTCAAGTCTCCTTTATGCGATTTATACATCTCAATGTCATCTGCGGTGGGCACGTATCTGATGAAGAAAACAACAAATGAAAACACGGCAAAGCACTGAAATGTCTGCCCTAATTTAGTTTTACATCGGTCCAACCTCTCTGCTTCATAAATACTTCACAGATGACCATTTTAAGTGTGCACGATTCTAAAAGGATGTCACACAACCCTTGTTCCTTTCTTACAGGTTGACTGCCTAGCGAGCCTATTTTCTCCTCCTAGATTGCCTGCTTTTCTCTTTGCATCTCTCCATCTAGTCCTCTGAAAAGGGCGCATGCTACTCAGATTTGCAGTGGCCCGAGGAACAGAGGTTGATTAAAAGCCAAGTTGCAGTCAGCTTGTATAAAGTGCTCAGGTAGTAGATGTTTGGCTGTACCTGACTTGCATCCTTGTTTGAACTCAGCTCACCTCCAAAATGGACCTGTGTTCAGGTCGTTTTAGTGTGTTTCAAATCCATACCACACTGACTATTTCATGAGCCCAAGGATGTTCCGATGGAGAAACAAGCTAACTAAAGCCACCTACCATTAATATTGCAGTTTCTGCTGGGACCATCTCGATTAAGATTGTATTCAGAAGCCCATGTGGCCGCACTTAGAATTCCACCGTATTTGGCTAAATAAATATAAATCTCAGTAGGTACATTAGATTATCCCTCCCGCATGCAGGTCGGCCTCCAGAAGTCATTTAAGGATGTTTCTTGCAGTCAAATGCAGAGGAGAAAGCATTTCTCCAGCTTCCCTCAGGGCAACTCAATAGTTTCCTTTTCCTCAAATACATCAGATAAAACTTTTATAAGCAGGCTGTTCTGTTAAGAGAGCCTGGCATATGTTCTTTTATATTAGCATTAAAGAAACGCTATGGTGTCTTCCTCAACATGAACTGCCCGTGACTTCTCGTGGTCTCTGTGGTCTTCATTACATCTACCACTGGAGCATCTTACAAAACACAGACCTCACTCTGTTCCTTTACATTTAACTGTGGTCTGCTGATCTCAACCGCTATATTTTCATTTATATTTTATAAAAGGGTCATTAACTAATAACATGGACAAGAATCTTTTTTCAAGCATTAACATTTGAGGTTAAATATGCATGCATGTATGGTAGGATGTGTATATTTTTATCACCATTTCTTTTAGAGTTCTTACTCTTAAAGGGATAGTTCACCCAAAAATGAAAATGCTGTCATTGCCTAAGATTGTCGGTAACCAAACAGTTGATGGGCCCATTGACTTCCATAGTATTTTTTTTTTTCCATACTATGGAATCAACAGGCTGTCAACTGTTTGGTTACTGACATTCTTCAAAATATCTTTTGTGTTCAGCAGAAGAAAGAAATTCATACAGGTTTGGAATAACTTGAGGGTAAATGATGACTATACCTTTAACGGTCTTAAAAATATACAGTATATTTCATAAACAGATTTTTTTTTTTGTACTATTCTGGTCATAAAAGTGCATACAAACTATCAAATCGGTATAAAATGTGTTTACAACGGATGTAAATGGTATAATTTAGCATCTAAAGACATTAATAATGTTACAAAAATTCTTTATTTCAAATAAATGGTTCTTTGAATTCAAAAATGGATCATGCTTTCCAAAATAATATTAAACAGCAAAACTGTTCTCAGCATTGATAATAATCAAAAATGTTTCTTGAGCACAAGTTCAGCATATTAGAATGATTTCTGAAGGATCATGTGACACTGAGGACTGGAGTAATGATGCTGAAAATGAATTGTTTCGCTATCAGACATATTGAAGAAGTTCCATAAAGTCTTGTGTGTCAAATTATCATTTTCAATTAAAAGACCAGCATAACCTAGTTTGGATCAAAATGGAATTTATAAACCTCCTGTACACACTTTTTAAACTTGACTTAGCGTGATACAGCATCTTAAAAACAGAAAAGCAGCAACACAACACCACAGCCACAGACATCGGTCTGCATGTGTTCATAGACAAACAATGAATCAATACACATTCAAGAAATGAACTATTGTGTCAGGTGTGGAGTTTGGCAGGCTGCTTTGTCTCCATGTATCTCTTACCTCCTGAGAGAGGCAATATGCTCGTCTGAGAGACCCCCTTCCTCTTCATTTATAATCAACAATTTGTCCTTGAGCTCTTTCGGATGCACAGGGAAACTTTTGAGGAAAATATCTGTGGGGACAATACGCAATACATTTACACAGGTACACACACATTCAGTCTTGAGCAACTCTTGAAACAACCTCTCCTGACTGCAGCTCTCCCCCACCTGTGATGAGAAACTCCAAGCGCATTTCGAAGACAAAAGGGTTGTGTGCTTAATTACCTCTCTATACATGATCCAGGGAGGGCCAGATGCATGCTGATTTGCATTGTACAAAACCTGAATTGATGGGATTTTCATTTTACCTAATAAACCTAGCTGTGCTGAAGTTGCAAACAGAAAAAAAGGAATGAATAATGGGAGCTGTGGCAGCTGGGATGACGCTCATTACAGTAACATATTCACACTTTGATTGAGTGGCACTAGGTTCAAGGGTACAATTACAATGTTAAGCCTCTTTTTCCTGTTTGCACCAAGTTGCACTACAGAGAAACCATTAGCAGTGTGAAAGAAAGGTTCTTTCATGGTTAACATGATTTTATCTAGCAAGAAAATCTGATTTCATCCATTCTTTTAAACATGGGAGGCCATGTCCCATTCATAAAAACCAACAGCCTCACAAACACAAAACAGATTAACAGAGTAATTTAGCATTCACAACCATTTTGATTGATTTGATACAGCAAAAATGAAGGGTGAGTCTAGAATTTATCCACTGTGAATTAATTGGACAGAGAAAAGTGTGTTTGATATTTTGAATATCAGAATTCGCAGTAAATTTCTTTGTAAAAAGAAAAAAATTTGACTCCCACTTCACATGAGCTTGATGATTCGTTTATTCTGAACACTGCCACATACCCAACTATAAAAGGGTGAGCACACTTAAGCAGTTAGTTATTCCAAGTTTTTTCTCTCTGAAATGTGTCACTTTGGTTTTCAGTGGCATTGCAAAGGTTGTCATTTTTATATAAAAAATGCAAAAGTTCTGATTTGATTTATCTTTGTGTTTATCTCAGATATGCTGTCATCTTAATATTTTACTAAATGTATATTAATATAATATTTCAATATTCTTTAGAACATTTCAAAAGGCAATTATTTATTTTTTGGAAACATCATAATAATGAATGATTAAGAATAACATCTTCACTTGCATTAACATATAATTTTGTACTTTTATGTTCCAATTATATGCTGTTCATCTTATTTCCTATTTCAGTGATTGCACTGAAAACAGCCAGAGCTGTAGAGGCTAACAGGGACTTCAGACTACGTTCCTCACTCATGATTCCAGTAGCTCACCACCAGCTGAAAAGCCAAACCCCTATGAAACGTCTTCAAGCTGTAATTGCGGCTCTAATCATGGGTTTTCGATTAGCAATTTATTTTCTTTACGGGTGGTATATGCAGTTGGAGCGAAAAAGTTCAGATACATTCAAATGGAGTACTATGATACAGCCCTTCAATTCAGAACTAGGCAGGACTGTTTGTTTTATTTATAAAGACTGTGTGGTTCCATCATTGTTCAAGGACTTGACTCAAGGAGTGATGTTCACTTTAAAGCCATTAGCTATACTGTAGCTCTAAGAAAGATTGAAAGAGAACATATGAGAACATATATAGTCGTGTGAAAAAGAAAGTACACCCTTTTGAACTCCTGTCAAACGAGTCCTGACACGTAAAACCATAGAATTCAAAAAGGTGCACTTTCTTTTTCACATGACTGTATAGTGGGTCCAAGAGTCTGAGACCATGAGTGAAAATGCTTTTCTTTAGCAGCTTTCTAGTTTAAAACGCAAAAAAACCATTACAAATAAACACTATATGGACAAAAGCATTGGGACACATGACCATTATACCAACGGGGACTGTTATGACATCACATTGGTCCCCCCCCCTTTGCAGCTATAACAACTTCCACTCTCCATTTTGGAGTTTCCCATTCATCTGGTAGAGCATTTGTGAGGTCAAGCATTGATGTTGGTTGGGAAGGTCTGGCTTGCAATTTCCGTTCCAGTTCATCCCAAAGGTGTTCGATGTCAGGGCTCTGTGAGGGCCAGTCAAGTTCTTCCACACATCCAACCATGTCTTAACGAACCTTGCTTTGTGCACAGTCATGCTGGAATAGAAAAGGGCCTTCCCTAAAATGTGCCCACAAAGTTGGAAGCATAGCATTGTCCAAAATGTCTTGGTATGCTGAAGCATTAAGATTTCCCTTCACTAAAAGTAAAGGGCCAAGTCCAACCCCTGAAAAACAGCCCCATACCATTCATATGGTACCCCATACCATACCACACCAAACCATACCACAGTTGGCACAATACAGTCAGGCAAGTAATATTTTCTTGGCGTCCGCCAATCCCAGACTCACCCATCAGACTGCCAAACAGAGAAGCATGATTCGTCAACCCACAGAATACTATTCCACTGCTCCGGCGTGCTTTAGACCACTCAATCTGACGCTTGGCATTGTACTTGGTGATCCGAGGCTTGGATGCAGCTGCTCTTCCATGGAAAATCCATTCCATGAAGCTCCCGCCGCACAGTTTTTGTGCTGATATTAATGCCAGTGGAAGTTTGGAACTCTTCAGCTATGGAATCAGCAGAGCGTTGGTGACTTTTACGTAACATGTGCCTCAGTGTTGGTGACCCCGCTATGTGACTATGTGGCTGAGTTGCTGCTATTCCTAAACGCTTCCACTTTCCAGTACTAACACTTACAGTTGACCGTCGAATATCTAGCAGGGATGAAATTTCACGAATTGACATATTGCGAAGGTGGCATCCTATCACAGTACCACGCTTGAATTCACTGACCTCAGAATGACCCATTTTTCCACAAATGGTTGTAAATGCAGACAGCATTGCTAGATGCTTGATTTTATACACCTGTGGCAATGGGTCTGCTTGAAACATCTGAATACAATAATACAATGAATACTGAATACAATGTCCCAATGCTTTTGTCCATTAAGTGGGCATATAGTAGTATATAATATAGCATATTTTAGTACAACAATGGATGAAAAGGTTCAATGAAAACTGTACATGATTGTAGAATGTCTTAATATTTGATACTTCAGCTTTAATGGTAGCAACACTCATCATTATCCAGAAAATCTGAGATGTTTAAAAGAGCATCATGTGCTTCAATGGAAGAATGAATATCTGACCTTTTGTACAAAGTTTACATACTCAAAGTCACAAAATTGCTGATTTAAATAGTGATCTAGAAATCTGTAGAATCTGAAATATTTTCTTTGCTGAGAATCTTCCAAAATCCTAAAACTTTCTGACTATTTTCTTGACTATTTTAAATTAAATTCTATGTAGTCTCAGACTTTTGTACCCCACTGTATATCCAAAAATGTATCTGTGGGGAGAAAAAGTTTACTGTCAGATATAATTTAAGACATCAATGACAGTAACCTTTTTCTCCAAGTAATCTAGTATTTCATGTGTCACCTCTTGAGTTTAAGAGATCTCAAACTGTGCTACCAAAGATACCAAAGTCTACAATTATAAGTCAGAGATCTCATCTTAAATCTCCAGAGACATGAAAGAGCAACCTTGAAGCAATAAAACTGTCCTCTGGATAAAAGCGCTGCTACTAATGATGACTCTAAGGTTGTGTTAAAAGTCTCAACAGAGTCCTCAAAAGTGTCTGGCATCAGATTAGTCTTTGAGTTCGTATTATTAAGACCTACGCGTGCTATAATTTATATCAAGAGCCAAATAAGTAGTCATATTACAGGACATAATGAGTCTGTTCCAAAACCTAATGAACTGCCCTGCTGCCACCTATCTAAATATGCAGCTTTCTTCTAAGGCTGCATTGTAACAAAGCAGCAACCATACAAATAAGACTCGGTTAACTATTTATTCCAATACAGTTTAACATCAGTATGTTGCTAATGATCAAACTGGTGCAAATCGGGGCACTAGCCCAAATAAGCACATAAAATTCTGTTATAACAGATTTATTATTGAATGTATTATGCCTACACATGCATTGATACATACACTCACCTAAAGGATTATTAGGAACACCATACTAATACTGTGTTTGACCCCCTTTCGCCTTCAGAACTGCCTTAATTCTACGTGGCATTGATTCAACAAGGTGCTGAAAGCATTCTTTAGAAATGTTGGCCCATATTGATAGGATAGCATCTTGCAGTTGATGGAGATTTGTGGGATGCACATCCAGGGCACGAAGCTCCCATTCCACCACATCCCAAAGATGCTCTATTGGGTTGAGATCTGGTGACTGTGGGGGCCATTTTAGTACAGTGAACTCATTGTCATGTTCAAGAAACCAATTTGAAATGATTCGAGCTTTGTGACATGGTGCATTATCCTGCTGGAAGTAGCCATCAGAGGATGGGTACATGGTGGCCATAAAGGGACGGACATGGTCAGAAACAATGCTCAGGTAGGTAATTTCAACTTTGAAACGATGGCATTTAAACGATGCCCAATTGGCACTAATGGGCCTAAAGTGTGCCAAGAAAACATCCCCCACACCATTACACCACCACCACCAGCCTGCACAGTGGTAACAAGGCATGATGGATCCATGTTCTCATTCTGTTTACGCCAAATTCTGACTCTACCATCTGAATGTCTCAACAGAAATCGAGACTCATCAGACCAGGCAACATTTTTCCAGTCTTCAACTGTCCAATTTTGGTGAGCTCTTGCAAATTGTAGCCTCTTTTTCCTATTTGTATTGGAGATGAGTGGTACCCGGTGGGGTCTTCTGCTGTTGTAGCCCATCCGCCTCAAGGTTGTGCGTGTTGTGGCTTCACAAATGCTTTGCTGCATACCTCGGTTGTAACGAGTGGTTATTTCAGTCAAAGTTGCTCTTCTATCAGCTTGAATCAGTCGGCCCATTCTCCTCTGACCTCTAGCATCAACAAGGCATTTTCGCCCACAGGACCGCCGCATACTGGATGTTTTTCCATTTTCACACCATTCTTTGTAAACCCTAGAAATGGTTGTGCGTGAAAATCCTAGTAACTGAGCAGATTGTGAAATACTCAGACCGGCCCGTCTGGCACCAACAACCATGCCACGCTCAAAATTGCTTAAATCACCTTTCTTTCCCATTCTGACATTCAGTTTGGAGTTCAGGAGATTGTCTTGACCAGGACCACACCCCTAAATGCATTGAAGCAACTGCCATGTGATTGGTTGATTAGATAATTGCATTAATGAGAAATTAAACAGGTGTTCCTAATAATCCTTTAGGTGAGTGTATATGCCTACACTACCGTACAAAAGTGGTCTGTAACATTTTTTATTATTTAATACTTCTTATTCAGGATGCATTAACTGGATTCTGTCATGACAACCCTCTGAGAGATTGGCAATGTTAATACAGGTGGAGCTGGGGAAGGTGGAGGGTTTCTGAAAGCACGCTGCAGATTGCAAACAGCAAACAAGTCCAAGTGTTTGAATGATGAGCAGCGATGTGATCGCTAACAAATAGAGTTAAGGACCAATCAGCCTGCGCCATCTAGAGTTTCGTGACAGAACTTTGTATTTCAAATAAATGCTGTTTTTTTCAAAGAATCCTGAAAAACATTGATCACGGTTTCCGTAAAAAAATATTAAGCAGCACAACTGTTTGATAATAATAAGAAACATATCTTAAGCAGCAAATCAGCATATTAGATTTTATATTGTAGTCATTTTTCCACATCAAATAAATGCAGCCTTAATGAGCATAAGAGACTTTAAAAACAATAAAATATCTTACCGACCCCAAACATTTGAACGGTAGTGTACAATGTTCTTAAAATACTGCTTCTGTAGGCAACTCACACTTTTTTTTTAAGTCCCCCTATGGTGAAAATCAAGCTTTTAATGTTGTTTATATGTCTATGTGGTGTTTTTAATGTGCTTTAAGACAAACCATGTGTAAATTCAACACCATTGCTGAGTATTTTCTCCTTAAAACTGCAGTGAACCAAAAAAAAAAAACGCGGTTTGAAATCGCTGGGGTTTCTGACATCACAAACTACCTTGTAACCAATCACATCAACCGTGTGATCGTCAACGAGTGGATCTCTGAGCTGCTGTGAGTGAGTGGAGGCGGGGCTCATTTGCATATTCATTGAACTGCGTATACTAAATGAAGCAAGGATATCAAGTTACATTCAAGCTATTTTAAGGTATGAAGAATTTTTTTTTTCAAAGAAATAACTTTTAAATATGTCATTTTGGTGATCAAAGATGAGCTTGAAGGGATAAAGTTATTGACTACAGGGGGACTTTAAATAATATGTATAACATAACCATTCTGGACACTTTATTCAAATAAATCTCACTGAGCTATGATTTGTAGTCGTTTTGTTTATTTATTCGCACGAGGGGGGGGTAAAGTTTAGCCGAAACTACTACTTACGGATAGAAAGCAGATTCATGATAAGGCCCAGAGACACGAGTGAAATGCACAATCCCATAATTCCTCCATCTGTATTTTCACTGCATAGTCATCCGTGTGCAGAGCAACTTCAAGCTACATCTGCTTACAGTGTGTCTCTGTGGAATAAAGCTACGCGGTAATTAACTAAGAGGCATCGCATTTATAACCGTCTGTATTTTGTGTAATGCTTCAGCGAAACTCTGAGATACTTAAATTTACATAAACAATGAATGTTATAATACTGATTTGGTCACAGACGTGAAAAACTGTGGGACGAACGTGATGGAGCATTTCCTTCCACGCTACCACAGATGCCATCATCCAAGAACTCCTACGAGCTCAATCCCCTCGCGAGTCTCTTTCCTTTTTCATGCAGTCGGGGGAGTTTTCTGGCTGAGTTATTACTGATCAACATGCAATATTCATCTGAGAAGGCATTATCATTTTGCCGAGCTCCGTAGCCCTTTGCCCCTTCGTGTTAGACTGGCTGAGAGATAAATTGCCTGGGGGTTGCTCCCGGCCCTGATTGCCTACCGCCGCAACTTGTCAGAGACCGGGGAAGAGGAAGAGGACACTTGGAAGGGAAGAGATAGCTGACACATAGGCTAGTAAGGATGCCATGCATTTTTCATAGCGCTCCCCTAATTGAGGCACCTGTGAGAGAAACTCAAAGCCGTTTGGTTGCTGCTGGTGTTATTGTTTTCGTTCTGATTTACAAGGATTTGCTCGCTTTTGAAATCCAATCTCTTTTCTTCCCGAGCAGACGACGAGGCCATGCTTTACATCTTTGTGAAGAGCTAAGGTGAATATAAAATGTAAAATTTGTGGAAATGTCTTGTTTTTGTTGCAGAACTTTGCACAAAAGCACTTTTAAACTCTCATTTTTAGTTTTAAGTGCACTTTAGGTCATTCAAAGAGACATAAAATGGTGCTTGTCTATTAGAATCCAACAGTAAAGCACAAAATGTGGCCTCAACATTTTTTATAACATTTTCTAGGGATGTTTTAAATATTAATAGGCGAGATCACAAGGACCTACTTTAATTTGCAAATCATTTTTTTATCTTTAATGCTTTTTTGAGTCAGTGAACACTAAGTAAAAAAGCATTACAAAGCTTCTGAAGCTATTCAAGTCTCATACACTAGCAAGAATCAAGCAAAAAAAAAAAAAAAAATAGATCCAAATAAACGGTGGTCAAAAATAACAGATGTTTTGTGCTTCCTCTGACGTGCTTAAGAGAACATCAGCATCATTATTGTCCAAGATAAAGCTTGGCTTCTGGGAAACGTGCATCACTAAGAGGTATTTTCAACAGAACACTTGAAACCCAGTGTGATGAATCAACATATTCCATGCTTTAGTATCAGTTGGAGGACACTGGAACATTGCAGTAACTTTTTTATGCTGCAATTTCCAAGCAGTCTATCTGTCAGTTTGATGCAACACTGCCACCTAGTTGTGTCTTTTAGAGCTGTTTAGCTGGTCAACAGACCAGATTTATCAGGTTGAGATCTTTTTTTGTGGTCAATATGTAAAAATTGTTCCAGAGCATTTGTTCTGTCTATACTTAATTTTATTTTCGTAGAAAGCTTAATGCTTCATACAGTAGTGTCCAAAAGTCTGAGAAAATGCACTACTGAAAATTTTCCATTTTTCTAATAAAAAATATTTATTCCATTACAAATTATAGTATCAGCATAACAATTTAAGTGAAACTCTGAATTTCAATCAACCACACCATTGTTATTTTAGTATTATTTATACTTTATTATAGTATTTATTAATATTTTGAATTGGCTTTTTATATATTTTCAGTTTTTATTTTAGTTAAAGTTTTAGTCATTTTGTTTTGTGCTTTTGTCAATTTTATTAATTTTTGTTTTTTATAATTGCTGTCAAATCGATTAATCATTATTAAGCGCATCTAACATAAAAGTTTTGACAACACTATTTTATATTTATTTTTAAATGTATTATTATAGTATTAGTTATTGTAGTACTTTTTCATTTGTAAATGTTGTTTTCACATGTTTTTAATATAATATTTATTTCATATATTTTTTTAGCTTAATTTCAATTAAAGGAAACCATTCTTAATAGTTTAGTAAAATCTTACATATTTCTTCTTCATTTTACATCATAACATTTATTTGTTTAACTTTTTTCAAAATGCTAGTGCTAAAGTTTGATTCCAGGTTTAAATTAGAAGAGATTTTATATATTGACAAAAGACTATGAGTTGAAAAGCAAGCTTTTTAGCAGACTGCTATGTGATTATTTTAGAAAAGAGAATTGTTTCTTGATATTTCTTATGCTCATGTGTTTATTCAGCATGTTTGCAATGGCAAACCTCTCTGTTAGTATTGTTCATACTTTTTCACAACCCAATTTATGATTCGGACATGAATAATCATGATAATCAGCATATTAGAATGATTTCTGAAGGATCATGTGACACTGAAGACTGGAGTAATGATGCTGAAAATTCAGCATCATTAAATTAATTTAAAAAAAACATTAATAAAAATTACCAACCCCAAACTTTTGAATGATAGTGTTCTACAATATATACAGCAGAAATTAGCATTTCATGGTCAGAATTTCAATGTGATCTCGCACAATGTGTTGAACAGTACATGACAACCTGAAAATACATTAATAACTGTAAGTAGAATTATAATCTTCCAGAAGTCCAAGCCAAAACAATTGCTTACTCTTCAATAAGTCCTTTGCAAACACCTCTAATAAACAAATGAGCGTAAGAAAGATCAAGAAACAATTCTCTTTCCTAAAGTAATCAGCGTAGCAGTCTGCTAAAAAGCTTGTTTTTCAATTCATAGTGTTTTGTTCAACTACAAAATCTACTGAGGACTCAAGTACGTGAGAACTAAACTATGTGCAAATTGTTTTATCAGATCCATTGTTATTCAAAGCCAATCCAGGAGAGGTTTTTAATGGTCCTCCCTGTTGCTGCTCTAATCCTCCCACAGAGATCAATGACTGATTCCACAAGTTCTACAACAAATACACCATTTATAACGAGACACGGCCTGACATTTTTTCCTCAAGCAACAACATTAGACCATGATGGAAGTTCACCTACAAATGAATGCCTCATGCCGTTCCAAACCTGCGAGAACATCCTGGCTGCAAATTTATATTATGAAAATGAAAAGGTACTTTTCATTTAAAGATATTGGCTGATAGCCTGCTGAGAGATCCTGCAATACTTACTGAAATTGTGAGCGATCCTTGAATTCAACATGATTTCCATAGTACTGGTGGACTCTGATCGGCCTGGGCCGCCTAACTCTCTAACTCCAAACAGCTCAAGCAAGCGTGAGGTGTCAATTTCAGTCTTCCTGGGGTTCCTGCAAGACCATATTGACTTCTCGATCTGCAAAGGCAGGGAACAGTCAATACCATTATTTCATATGATATTATTTCATATCAAGGCATTGCCTTGAATGCAAGTGATCTTTAGCAAATGATTAAATATTAAGAAAACAGATTTACCACAACAACTATTTCAATGCTGAAACAGCAATGCTGCGTTTGCAATATGGTATGTTGAATGACTCCTTTAGTCTGAATTTACAAGCAAAAAACATCATCGCACGCACATTTAACAAAAATGAGCCCCTGTAAAAAATAAAAAATAAGGTCTCACGAAATATAAGTGTCTCCTGTATGTTAAAATATGGTTGTTCGAAATGGAAAACTAGCATATTTAAAAAAAAATAGTATGTGAAAAATAACACATTATGCAACATTACATGTTTAAAATGTTAAAATACCGCTGAATAAAAAAAGGTCATTCTGCATTTTGAATCCAATTTTTGCATTCAAATACTATTAATGGGCCAATCAAATAATAAGTCTGACTGAGAAAGTTGAATTTGTTAGCACTACAAATGGAAGGTCAAGTCAAGTGCATTGCATTCTGGGAAACATTGTTTGTATACTGCACATTTACCAAATGTAGTAGGTCATTGGCGTATTCTTGCATACAGAACTTTACTGTTCAAAGGTTGTGGTCAGTATGATTTTATGTTACAGAAATTAATACTTTAATTCAGCAAGGACATAATAAATTGATCGTAAGTAAAAGTAAAGACATTTATAATGTTACAATTTCTGTTTCTAATTAATCATATTCTTTCTATTTATAAAAGAATCCTGAAAAAAAAAAAGTATCATGTTTTCCACAAGAATATGAGGCAGCACAACGGTAATACTGTACAAATGCACATTTTCTCAATGGCTTAAACAGTAGTTTGTCTGACCCAGGGTTATTATAGTTAACTAAAACTTAAGCTAACACCATAAAATAAGTATTTTCGATACTTGCAATAAAATAAGCATTGACTGAAATAAATTATTAAAAAAATTAAACGTATGCATTTTATTTCAGCTAGTTGCAAAGGCAACATTTCTCTTTTTTTAGTTTAACTTTTCTTAAAAATAACTAAAACTAAAATAAAAATGAATACAAGTATCTAAATTACACTAAAATAAACCCCCCTCCTATAGGCCCTGTCTACACCTGGTATTAAGAAGCGTTTTGGTCGATCGGATCACAAGTGGACGACGCTAAATACAGGTGTAAACAGAGTCTAAACCGTCTTGAGCTTGTCCACTTTCAACCACTTCCAGAGGTAGACGAAAACTCATTCGATTGATATGTAGTGTAAACGCTCATGTGGTTGAATGTGTTCGAACAGCCACAAAACACCGCCTACTCTCCGCCTGCTGACCTAATGTGTAAACATTATGTGAAGCGCGCTAGCCAGACGGGATTTAAACTTTGTCGGCTGACCCAAGTTTGGTTTGAAGATGAAAAACGTACCAAGCACAATGTTCTCTCACCATTCCTGATTTCTAACACACACTCACAGTGTTCGGAGTGATCTTGTGGCTGTCAGAGCAGAAACAAAAAGCTGATGCTCTCCATGTTTTTCCGTCATCTCCGGGGTCGCTCATATGTAAATTGCGTATGAAAAATACCCTTCCCTCGAAGAAATCAAGACAGAAGTGGTTGAAAGTGGGCAAAAGAGACGGATTAAAACACCAGGTGTGAACGAGAATGTGTCTCCCTCGTCTACTTGGGATCCGCATCTTAACACAAGGTGTAAACAGGGCCATAGATAAAACCGACACAAGAGCAGATACCTTATCATAAGCCACCGGGTCCCAGTGAAAAGCTTTTGTCCTCTCTGAAAGCTGCTTGGATTTCATGGGCAGCGGAGGGGGCAAAGGAGCGGGCGGTACAGGACCTGGAACTGCTGACGGCACAGGCAAAGGTGGGGGCAATAAAAACGACAAAGTCAGAGACGGTGATGAGCATGTGGCCACTGGTGAGGTTGGCTTGAACACAGATCTGAACTCTGCTGTCCGGGCTGGCTTCGGTTCTGACGCTTTCATGGTGACGATTTCTGGCTCTAGTGTTGTTGGATTATCTACAAGCTCAGCTGGGAATGTTTTGGGTAAACGTGGTCTCGGTGTCGGTGGCACTGGTGGAGGTGTGACCTGCATGTGGTCATTCTGTGTCTTACTTTCTGACTTTGTACCGTCAATGAGAGCTCTTTCAGGGGCTTCATAGAAGTGTTCATGTTGTGACTTTCGTTTCCAGTCCACACATAATTGTTTGATCGCTTTCACCCAGGCGTCCCGCTCATATTTGATTGCCTCTGAGGTCATATATTCGCTTTTTGGTATTCGGAACCTGACAAAGATAAAAAAAAAAAGAGTGTTGTTGAGTTAACTTTCGGTCACACGTTCATTTCCTCTTGACTATTATTTATTGAGGTAAAGATCAGGGATTAAGAAAGAGCACTTGACTCACAGGAAGTCATTCTTGTCGTTGATCAGCGTGAAGGTGTCGGTGGTGCAGGAGGTCTCCACCCTGACATTACCGTCTGAGAGATGGATGATAACAGCTGTCCCATCACCCCCAGCACACCTGATATCATCCACACTGTCGTAAATGTCTGAGAGAGTCCAGACGGTCTCGCTGGAGGAAACGAAGTCGTCTGGATTACTGCTGGCAGATTGCTGAGCAACAGTCCACAAGGTCAGCTGACCAGTCTGAAGATGAGCTTCATATCTAAGAGTGCAGAACATAGCATAACTGTTAGTAATCTTCAAATATATATATATACATTTTCTGTTATTTTTGGCCTTTTTCAACTTTTTATTAATTGTACAATAGAAAATTGGGGAACAGCATCAGGAAGTGATGAGAATGGGAATTAAATGTGTTAGAGTCTAAACAGTGTCTGCGAGCCCCCCATTCAAAGTCCATTTAAAGGAAAGTCTGTTCAGTCGGCGGCCATATTTACAACGCCTCTGTGCAGTTATTTCGGGCATCCAAGACCAACTCCTATCTATTTGAACCGGGGAATCCTGAAATCTCAAAAACTGCTTCCCGTTCTCACAATTAAATAACATATTTCAAATTAGCTACAAAATCTGACATGAACTGTCCCATAAATTGTTTCTTACGCTTAAATAGAGTTTTAAAAAAGGTCTGTATAATTTTTTTTTTATGATTTTGAAATAAGCCTCTTCTGCTTACCAAGGCTGCATTTATTTATACAAAAATACAGTAAAAACAGTAATAATGTGAAATATTATTAGAATTTAAAATAAATGTTTTCTATTTTAATACACTTAATTTTTTTTTTATTCCTGTGATCAAAGCTGAATTTCCAGCATCATTACTCCAGTCTTCAGTGTCACATGATCCTTCAGAAATCATTCTAATATGATGATTTGCTTAAGAAACATTTCTTATTATTTATTTTTTCCATGTTTATATGTATTTTATGAGGCACACTGACAAAACATAAATACGGTCTTTAATTATTAATTAACTATCATAAATATATTTAATAAGTCTTTAAGATTGTTGACATGTGTGGCAAGGGGTGCCCAAAAAAAAATAAAAAATTGTAATTCCCCTGAAAGATATTGTATAAATCTATATTTCTAATACCAACATACTTTCTATCCGAACTTGCATTAAATTTGCAATAGAGGGAATGCGTATGACGTCACCGTCAGCTGGAGTGATTGCGGTCACGCACACTGAGTGGCAGAAAGACTGAGCGGCAGCATTGGTTTTCAGCGTGAATGCCGTGAAAAACACAAAAAACACATCTAAAATGGGAAAGAGCTTTGCGATTGACTGTACAACTACATTTCACAAGAAATCTGAGGTATATTTTTACAGACTGCCGAAAGCAAGAGAACAGAGAAGCAAATGGATCGATGCAATTCATAGAAACAACTTGACTCCAGGCAGAGAAAAGTGGATTTGCAGTTATCATTGAGCCCGTTTACATGCAAACCAGTAACCATGACAACACAAGTAACCCGTGTTTACATGACTTTATTAATAAATCAGGCCATGACCCTTAGGCTGTGTGACGACAAAACAATCATTTGCGTATCTGACTCTGAGTATTTCATTTGTTTTGTCGGTTGATGTTAAATAAAGCTTGCAACATGTCAGCGGGAAATTTACAGCTGGTATATTATCCTCTCATGCAGTTACAGATGCAGCGTTTTGACTGAACCACTTCTACTTCTGCTGCACGAGATGAGAGAAAAAAAAGCAGAAAGCAGGTTAATGCGTTCACATAATACGAAATCCGAGTAAGAGGCAAAAAACTACCCGTGTCGACCGGTTTATGCTTAAGCCGGTTATGACCCTACTCCGATAAAAGAAAACGGGTTTCCGTGTTTACATGACCACATGCGTTGTCATGACAAAAAAAATATAGGCTACAAGTTTTAGGGTTGGACGATATGATTATAGCCTATATATAACATTGATATGAGTGATCACCTGGATTTAGACCTACCTATATTGTATTTATATAAAGCGTTCACGTATTTCCCCGGCGTCGAAATCAGGCACATATAAATGTCAGGAAACACAATATGGCTGCGTGTCAATATCCATGGATCACTGGATCTTTGGTAGGCCTAAATTGTAAGGAACACTTATATCGAGTCCAACCATCGTTTGTTTTACTCTCGTTTCCGCAGTTTCCCCTATTAAATCCAGTCATGCAGCAGCTCTTTTGCCACTCAGTCCCGCTGAGGGGGCGTGTTCCGGCGGGAAAGTGACGCTAATGCATTCCCTCTATAGAACAAATGTTGTGGTGTTTGCTGTGCAAAACATGTCGCAACAATGCTGGATACTTGCCAGAAATGTGCAGTTGCTAAGGTTTACAGTTTTAGTTTATTGCAAAGGTGTTGCTGATATTCTGGTTCCAGTGGAACCCTGTGGGATTTTATTTAGCCGTTTTTGTTGGTAAATAAAAATCGAATATTAGGCCTACTTTAAAATGTGACATACATACTATAATTTAGCATCTATGCTTAGGGGTTTGTTCAAAAAGTATGAGCCTGCAGGATGGCTGCCTGAGTGAGCACCACTAAAATGTTAACAAACACGGCCTGATCATTCTAGTGATAAGATGTTTGTGACATTTGTTCCAGTCTAACTGGTATAACAACTGCTAAGGGCTGTTATGCAAGAAGCAGACAAAACATAAAATGTCAACAAAATGATACTTTTTCCATTTGAATGATGCCAGTCCTCCTCTCTGGAGTAAAAGCTGTCCCTCTTTGACGTTGTCTGGAGGTAAGTGTGAGCTTTTCCTTTCAACAGACCCATTTACAGGAGGGCTGTATATGTTACTGTAGATGATCTGATTTACCAGCAGCATGATCTGAAGGTGAGATTACATGGTTTTGCAGACTCATGCAGACTCATATTAATGGTTTTAAAAAGACTGCAAATTTGATGTGTGTTTAATGATCTGCCAAAGACTGTGAATTCAATCCACGTTGCACGTGATGTTCTCACCTTCTGCTTGTCCTCTAAAGATGCAGCTTCCAGCTCATAGTCAGTCCGACCTCTGAACGAAATGGAGAACCTGGTACCTGTAGCTTCATGGCAGTTTTTCACATCAGAAAAGAGGAGCTGGCGTTTCACGATGCCTTTCTCGATGCTGCACATTAGGCTTGTGCTGAAATCAATCTGAAGCATAGAAGCGTGCATTTGTTATATCGTGCATTAAAACGTAATTTGTATCTACTTGATACACACCTGCAGCACTCGTTTCTGCCATATGTAGCGGTTGAACTTGCGGACACTGAAGTTATACTGTGACGGCTGTTCTTCCTTCAACAGAAACATATGTAAAACAAAGAATTCAAGAATACTTCCTAAAAGGTCACTTTACAATAGAGATTATTAAAATCCCCATAAAGAGCTGCTCTTAATATCAGGGACAGTCCCACGACGACTGGTTAAAGAACAAATAATTTCCTTAATAAGGACTGTGCCTAAACTAACCAAACACTTTCTTATGACAAATGTTCAACGAAATCAGTGTGACGTAATTACACGCCCATTTTGCTAAGTTATTTGATATATTTTTTAAATAAAACAAAATAAAAGATACAGTCATGCTCAAAAGGGTACTCGCCCTTTAAGGAATCTGCAAAATGTTAATTATTTTAGATGCATGTTATTTTTTATTTGTCTGAATAAGATAATTTACATAAAAGATGTTTGCATATAGTCCACAAGACAAAAAAAGTAGCTGAATTTATAAAAATGACCCCGTTCAAAAGTTTACATGCCCTTGATTCTTAATACTGTGTCGTTACCTGGATGACCCACGACTGGTTGTTTTTTTGTGATGGTTATTCTTGAGTCCTTTGTTTGTCCTGAGCAGAAACTGCCCAATGTTCTTCAGAAAAATCCTCCAGGTCCTGCAAATGTTTCAGTTTTCCAGCATCTTTCACATATTTGAACACTTTCCAGCAGTGACTGTATGAACCTTTTTTAATAGTTGTGTTCCTCAATTGTCCTCAGTGTGAAAGATGGCTCTCAAAATCATACAGTCACTGCTGGAAAGGGTTCAAATATCCAAAAGATTCAAAAAATGTCGTGGATCATCCAGGTGACGCACAGTATTGAGAATCAAGGGTATGTCTACTTTAGAATGGGGTCATTTTGATAAATTCAGCTATTTTTTGTCTTGTGGACTATATGTAAACATCTTTTATGTCAACTATCTTGTTCAGAACAGTCCGATATAAAAAATAAATGCATTTTGTATGATCCCTCTTATTTTGCAGATTCTGCAAGGTGTACGTAAACTTTTGAGCACGACTGTATATTTCAAATGTTGATAAGTTCTATTTTGGCAATTCTTTTTCTGGCCCACTGTAGATCAATGTGGATCACCTCCAGGTCTAAGTTCCTTTGCTTCTGTTCTGAGTCACTTCTAGCCTGATTTACAGCTTCGTCGATACTCATTTTCCCCGATTTCACCATGTCCATGAGATTCAGCTGCATTGCGTTGCTGAGCTGTAAAAACAATGAGAGTTTAAGTCAAGAACTGTGATTATTCTTAAGACAAGCACATGCTGTCTCCATGGAACATTCATTGTTTGGCAACAATGAACTAGCTGACAAAAGACTGTTGAAATGAGGAAGTTTTGATGATTTTTATTTTTGGCACACAATTTACCGTCATTGTAATCTTGTATTTCATGCTAGTGCACTTTAGCGGACACCTGATTCCCTATGACACGTTTGGTCTTCTTGTAAAATTGTAACTTTTTATTACACTATATAGAGACACTATAAATGATTCTTATTTTGGTGAACGCAATCAATGTGGGACATCAAATGCATTACATTAATCGGTAACACTTTACAATAAGGTTCATTAGTTAACATTAGTTTACTACATTAGTTATCATGAACTAATAATGAACTGCACTTATACAGCATAATCTTTGTTAATGTTAATTTCAACATTTACTAATACTTTATTAAAATCTTGTTCACATTAGTTAAAGCACTTTGAACTAACATGAACAAACAATGAACAGCTTTATTTTTATTAACTAACATTAACAAAGTTTAACAAAATACAGTAACAAATGTATTGCTCATGGTGAGTTAATGTTAGTTAATACATTAACTAATGAACCTTATTGTAAAGTGTTACCCATTAATCTGTTAATGAAATGGAGAACACGGCTTTTTTAATTTATGAATTCACAATACATTCATTAATTTATACATGAATTCATTTACATGCAGCCATGTGTTTTTGAGGTTTGATATCATTTTTGTTTATTAAATATAAAGAAATTAAGCAGTTTGATGATTATCTATTGTTTTTCAACACAGCACAGTTGCAGTTAAACAGAATTTTACACTGAATATTTGAATAATAGCTTTAAGAAATGTCTCTTACCTGAGGTAAATGCACTGTCTTTCTATGATTCATGTTTCTTCATTTGGCTTCAAGAGACCAAAACATGTCAGATCAACCATCAGTCAAACTGAGGATTGTAAAGGTGTGTGTTTGTGTGAGAGGGAACTTGGTATGCTTGTATGGAGGTATTTATTACAAGGCAACTTCCTGAAAAGCGGCTTACCTGAGGATAAAAAAAGAAAAAGGTGAAGTCATACATCTCCACCCTTTGTCTGACTTCTCATCTTTCTGTGGGACTCACCAAAATGCGTCTTTGTCTCTGCTGTTGTGAATGTGGTTGGTTGTACAGTACTTGTACTGTCAAATTTGATGAGTAAAATAAAACATGTCCACGTTTGTTTGCAAATTGTAACGCATTTGTTCAACCGCAAGATGGCGAACATCCAATACAAACTCACTACGAGGCTGTAAAAGACAACTAAACTTCAAATAAAGTACAAACTAGTTTTATATTAGTGTTGTGATCATGAAAGTGGTTTGTTACTTACCCACAACCAACTTTAAAGTAATTGCAGCTGTAAAATAGTATGTTTAGATTCAGATAAAATATCATAGTTACTACAGTTGCTTTAAATCCAATAATCTTCAGGTAACCTATTTTTAATTATTTATTTATTATTCCTAAGTCCTAACGCTTGGCGGTAGACGGCCGAGTCCGTTTATTTTTTACTAGAACCCGCATGCTCATTGCACATCAGCAGGACCAGTCTGAAAAGAACACTGTAAAAAACTTAAGTTCAGTCTGGTTGCCTTTAAATATATATATATATATATATATATATATATATATATATATATATATATATATATATATATATATATATATAATTACCTTGGTTGTACAAGTCATTTCAACATAAATGATAACTGACTGAGGTTGAATTGAATCCAGGACAGCAACATATAAGGCTTGTTCGACTTGAACCAGCGCTGAACAGACCCATCCGTGAATGACATCAAAATACCACGAGAACGATTAGAGAGCAGCTGTGTATGTTTTTTTCCATCGCTCGTGGTATTGATGTTATAAACCAATCGGTCTGTGCAGCACCGGTTCAAGTCGAGCAAGCCTATAGTGTCGGCCCAGATCCGGCCCACATCTTATCTACACGTTGAATCCACATGTAGCCTACCAGATGTGGCCCGGATCTGGGCCGACGCTATGTTGCTGTCTATAACGTATTAAAAAAAGATGACACTGTTTAAATTATTTTGATGAGTTAAAGTAATGTAAAAACATAAGTCACCATGACTTACTGATCATGTAATTTGAGGGATGTGAGCAAAAGCAGCAGTTTATGGTTGTTAGGTTGTTATTTGAAACAGCCCGGAAAGTACTGTGTAATTAAGAGGAATTTACAGAGTAACTTTCGGTAATTATAGTGTACCTATAAAGTACTTGCATGTAAGTATTAAGGGAACAATATGTAAAGTTTGGGGAATAAAGGGGTAACAACCAGGAGAATTAAAAAAATATTTATGCTGTAAGTATTATAGAACTAAGGGGAACTTATTCTACTATTATGATACAACAATCTTACATTTGGGAGCAATTTAGCGAGAACACTGCGTACCTTTTTGTAATAATTGTGTAGGCCTACCAATACATACTGTATAGGCTTTTTTTTATTACAGGGTACATATCTATGCATTTATTTTATACTTTTATTTATTTATTTTTTGATAGCAAAAGTGCAGTTGTTTAAGTTAACATGTTTCAAGGCAAGAAAAGCTAAGACTATTGCAATTTTTTTAAATACTGGGAAATATATCTTGTTTCATGTGGTTACAGGGTAAGTGGTAGCCTACTTGAATAATAAATAAAGGTTTCCGAGTCAGTGATATAAGATTGTGTGTATGCATTTTTATTGTTAACCTGTAACTACATCGAACAAGAGGGTAACAAGCACCACTTTAATTTACAGCCCGCAATGTCACACTTACCCTGTAACTACATGGAACAAGAGGGTAACAAGCACCACTTTAATTTACAGCCCGCAATGTCACACTTACCCTGTAACTATCGAACAAGAGGGTAACAAGCACGACTTTAATTTACAGCCCGCAATGTCACATTTACCCTGTAACTACATGGAACAAGAGGGTAACAAGCAATATTTATTACTTGAATAATAAATAAAGGTTTCCGAGTCAGTGATATAAGATTGTGTGTATGCATTTTTATTGTTAACCTGTAACTACATCGAACAAGAGGGTAACAAGCACGAATTTAATTTACAGCCCGCAATGTCACACTTACCCTGTAACTACATGGAACAAGAGGGTAACAAGCACGAATTTAATTTACAGCCCGCAATGTCACACTTACCCTGTAACTACATGGAACAAGAGGGTAACAAGCACGAATTTAATTTACAGCCCGCAATGTCACATTTACCCTGTAACTACATGGAACAAGAGGGTAACAAGCACGACTTTAATTTACAGCCCGCAATGTCACACTTACCCTGTAACTAACAAGAGGGTAACAAGCAATATTTATTACTTGAATAATAAATAAAGGTTTCCGAGTCAGTGATATAAGATTGTGTGTATGCATTTTTGTTGTTAACCTGTAACTACATGGAACAAGAGGGTAACAAGCACGACTTTAATTTACAGCCCGCAATGTCACACTTACCCTGTATCTACATGGAACAAGAGGGTAACAAGCACCACTTTAATTTACAGCCCGCAATGTCACACTTACCCTGTAACTACATGGAACAAGAGGGTAACAAGCACCACTTTAATTTACAGCCCGCAATGTCACACTTACCCTGTAACTACATGGAACAAGAGGGTAACAAGCAATATTTATTACTTGAATAATAAATAAAGGTTTCCGAGTCAGTGATATAAGATTGTGTGTATGCATTTTTGTTGTTAACCTGTAACTACATGGAACAAGAGGGTAACAAGCACCACTTTAATTTACAGCCCGCAATGTCACACTTACCCTGTAACTACATGGAACAAGAGGGTAACAAGCACCACTTTAATTTACAGCCCGCATTGTCACATTTACCCTGTAACTAGATCGAACAAGAGGGTAACAAGCACCACTTTAATTTACAGCCCGCAATGTCACACTTACCCTGTAACTAGATGGAACAAGAGGGTAACAAGCACCACTTTAATTTACAGCCCGCAATGTCACACTTACCCTGTAACTACATGGAACAAGAGCAAGCACCACTTTAATTTACGGCCCGCAATGTCACACTTACCCTGTAACTATCGAACAAGGGGGTAACAAGCTACATGAAACAAGAGTATCTTTCCACAATATTTAAGCAAAAGTTGCAATAGTTTTCGTTTTCAGTGCACTTTTGTTAAAAAGATTACATTTTAAAAATTACAGGGTACATATCTATGCATTTATAAAGCCTATACACTGGTTCACCATTATTTCAAAAAGGTACGCAGTATATGTTCTTGCTAAATTGCTCCCAAATGTAAGATTGTTATATCATAATAGTAGAATAAGTTCCCCTTAGTTCTATAATTCTTACAGTATAAATAATTTTTTAATTCTCCTGGTTGTTACCCCTTTATTCCCCAAACTTAAAATATTGTTCCCTTATACTTATATTGTAAGTACATTATAGGTACACTATAATTTTACAAGGTTACGCTGTAAAATTGCTTTAATTACGCAGTACTTTCCGGGCTATAATCTAAAGCGTTACCGAAAGTTATTTAAGCAATAACTAGTTCTGTGATTTTAGTCTTTCCACATTCAAATAGATATGATCTTGCTGTATACTTTGAGCATTCATTACAGATAGGCTAACTGTTACCTTTTGTATTTTGGTAAACAATGAAATGGACACCATGACTTGGAGGGAAATTAGCATTTTATTCAGTTCTGTTTGAACTCTTTGATGCACGTTCAAGCATTTAATAACCACATTGAGTGTTAAACAAAGTTTAAACTTGTGTTATTATGCACAGTATCAATCCTCCCAAAAATGCTCATAGCTGACTAACTCTGGCTTAAAATAACTTGTGCGTCAAAAAAGTGACAGACTGAGAAAAGGAAGTGTTTACATCCTATTTCATTTACTGTAGTCAAGTTTACATATTCATGCAGATGCATTTTGTATGTTTACCTTTTGCATATTTGTCAATTATTTCACATACAGACTGTGTGCTCCCGTTATTGTCTGATACCCTTTTATTGTCTATAGTAACTGTAATTTGTAGATGTGTTTTATACAGCAAGCCCCCTAGACTGTGCAGTGTCTTGAAAGAGAAGAGCCTTCCTCTGAGAACATGAAACATGTGACGGCCATATTCTCTGAACTGTTCCTCATGGGACTGAAGGGTTTTTCACTAGAATGTTTAATTACAGTATGCCACGCTCAAATCATTCTCAGAATGTATACCTGGTGAGGAAGTGATAGTAAGTATGAAAATCTTCCAAGCGTGTATAAAGTCAGACGTCATTGTGCTGGGATCTGGCTTGTTGAATCATTGATGATCAGAGAGTATTTCTTCTCTTCCATGGCATGTCCCTAAAACTACTCATGTGTATTAGTCCAAAACAACTTCCTTGTTACATGGGGATTTCCTCCTGCTATCTCTTGAATCCAAACCTGGGCTTTTTTCTATTTTTTTTTCTAAGGGAGAGTCCTATAGCAGGGGTGGGATTCACCGGTGGCTGACTCTCACGCTACAGACTGCTTTTCTAAATCTCCTCTTTTCTCACTGTGGCAAACTGTCAAATGAGCTCTTTCAAAGCATGCTGGCATTATCTCAACATTTTTGTCTTATGAACTGTTTTAATATCACTTGCTTTCTTTCTTATGGGCTATCTATATTATATATTCATACTTATTATTATATATTATTTTAATATTTATTAATATTTGTAATGTACCTTTTTATATTTTCATTTTATTTATTTCTTTAAGATTTAATTTTGTTATGTGCTTTTGTCATTTTTATTAGTTTTTGTTTAGCTTTAATTTATTTTTTATTTCAATTTTAGTTATTTGCCAAGGCAACACTTCCAATTTTCTATTAAGTTTTTTAAGTTACTTTTTAATATATTTATATATTTTAAGTTAAATTTTTTTTTTTTATATTTATATTCATGTTATTCCAGATGCATATAAAACAATAAAAAAACATTTTAATATTTTTAGATAGTTAAGAATAACAACACTGTACTATAGCATAATTTTTTATAATATTTAAATATTGCAAACATACACAAAAATAAAAAGTAATACATATAAAGATATATAAATCTTAAGTAAATAGAAGTATAAATAGAAGTATCTTTATATAAGTCTCATTGTCATGATCCCAGTGGTCTTGTGAGGACTTTTATGTCATTTCCTTTTCTGTGCCATGGTTTGGTTTTGTAGTCCTTTGTAGTTTTTCTTGTTGATTAGTTCTTTGGATTTTTCCCCAGGTGTCTCTTGCTTGCCAACTACCCCTTGTGTATTTAAACCCCAGTGTTTCGTGTTCCTGGTTGAGTCTTGTCCTACACAGATGTATGTTTGGTGCACTCATTCTGTTCCCTGTTTGGATTTGTTATTATGTGTATTCTTTTATTAAACTCACTGAATTTGGATCCAGCTATCCTTTGCTTTTGAGTTCACTCCTTCATTACAGAAGACTCAACCACAAATGGACCCAGCAGTGAGAATATGCATCTCCGCCAAGGAGATCGGAAAATTGAGGACTGTACAGGACTTTGTTGAGCTGGCTCATTACGCCAAAATGAAGGAAATATCCCTCATGATCTTTTTTTCGAGGGGGGCTATCTGAGACACTTAGCTAGGTCATGCCATTATGAACCTGGACTCAGGAATTTTATATTGATCTGGCATTACAACTAAGTGGCTCAGATTTTAAGGTGGGTGTCGTGGAGGAGGAATGAGACATTCACGTGGTACACTCGCTATACTCGAGTCTCCGGCCGTCATGAACATTACACATGAAGATACCAAGGTGGTTCCTATCATGTGAGATTGGCTTCCAATTTGGTGGACACAGCGCTGATATTGGTACGAGAAGTTTTCCAACTGTTGATGGCATTCCTTGTTACGGCAGTGGCCATTTTGTTTGTCTGGGCCGCATATGCTTCAGTTTCTGCCGAGGCGGCGGAACCAGATCTAGCTTCGCCCAAGGCGGTGGTGTCCGCCCAGGAACTCTGTTTGCCCTGATACGACGACCACAGTGGTTGCCTTAGAACCCTCTGTCCTGACATGACCACGGGGGTCGTCCCTGAGTTTCCTGTTTAACCTTGACATGACCACAAAGGTCACCTCTGAACTCCCTGTCTCGGCCAGAGAGGCCGTTCTATGGTCCCCCGAGTCTCGGCCAAGGAGGCCGGAATCAAAGATTCTGCTTGCTTTATCACGGACATTTCTCCTGAGTGTCCTGCCTGCCCAGTTATGCCCACAGAGGCCCTTACTGAACTTTCTGCCTGTTCTGACACACGGCCCCAGAGGCCAACCCTAACGTCTGTGTTCTTTGCTCCAGTTCCGCCTGATCCGCCATGGGGACCTTCAGACCTTTCTGATCTGCGGTTGTGGTCTTCTGTGCCACCGTGGTGGTCCTCAGCTACGCCTTGTCATAATCCCTGTGCTGTGTCTTGTGTTTTGTAAGGACTTTTATGTTGAAGTGTATTCTTAGTTCCCATTATTTTATATTTTGCATGAAAATAAAGTAAGTGGATGGATAAATAAATAAATGTCACTTCCACGCAAGCGTTGTCACTCACTGGTGACGACGTGACGTGACTCAATAACAATAGCGTTTGTCTGACGAGGAAGTGAGAGTCAAGCTGGGAAGTTCTAGTTGAGTTACAAGTTAGATTGCTGAAAGATAAACCATCCCATATGTTATAATCTGTGTCTTTTTTGTTTGTTTGGATTTTTTGTTAATTATCGAAATAATGTATCAGCTTTCCTTCTAAAACTCTAAATAATACTTCTAATAATATAATAAGCGTCATAACCAATCTTGTCAAGAATTTTTGTCTATCAATAGGCTACCTCTAAACCGTCTTTAGTTTGTACTCTCACTTCTTGGAATAGCATGGGGAAATGGGAAATGGTCACATGTCACATGTGGGCGTGTCTGCGGGAAGAAATCCCCTCTTGCGCCTGTGATTCATTAGTTGAAGAGCTGCAGCAGACTGTTTGGTGTCTTATGTGTTTGTGAAGCATTAACAACTGGTTCAAAGGATCCGTTTCTATAGATATTGCCATCATGAGGACAGTTTTCATTATTTATTTGCTGGTAAGTGTGCTGAGCGCTTTGCGCGTGCATGATAACTGCGCGAAAATGTTAGTCTCTGTTGTTATTTACATTGTTGATATTCATTGTAACAGTATTGTTATTACGTTTCACGTACATTATTTAGAATTCTTAGATTGGCGTTGGTGCTGAAAGAATGACTCGTATGTTTCAGGTTACTTTCACTTTCTATTTGAATGCGCATAATAGCACTAGAAGCATTTAAAGTAGCTATATCTGTATCTAAGTGACATATGAAAACAAACATGTGCATTGTTGTTAAATAGTTATTTGATCCAAGTATAAGGTTGCACAGTCTGCCTTGTTTAAAACGGTCATTCTTGGTGGGGATCTTAGGGACTTTCCGTATTGCCTGTAACGTCGTTATGATGGTTTGTTTTGGGGTCTGAGAGTTCCCATGTCCTTAACTGACTTAACTAGCTCGAAAACATACATTTTGAAATATAGGTTTGGTTGTTAATGACGCATTGTATGATAACAGATTATTAAAAAGTTTGTTAACTTGTATTTGCTAATTAAGATGTTTACAGTAAAAATGTAATGAAAACGACTCTAAACATATTAGTCTACTTGGAAAAAGCTGTTTTATTCTTCACGGAGTGGGCCGGCCCTCTCATCTCCTCATGGTCGCTGGCATGTGGACATCACATGACCTGTTTTCTAATGCCATACAGTATTCTTCATAATGTTCCTCTTATGTCTTTATCTTTGACAGGTCTCACTGTTACACTTTGTGTTATGCTGTGAGGAAGATGAAACGCATTATAAGAACAAATCTGGTGAATGCTGCAAAAAGTGTGGACCAGGTATGTGGACATAATAAATTTGTCTAGACTGGAGGAAGTATCACCAGGGAGTAAAAAGAGCTAGAGCTAACTTGAAAAAAGGCAACCTATCAGATTCAATTTAAGTCAACTCAACTAGTTCGCTCCAGTTAAAGTCAACTTAAAAACTTTTGTTAATGAGTAACAGGTAGTTCTTTGAGTCAACGTATTTTTTCAAGTTAGCTAAATTGCCCAGTCCTTGCTTTGTCTTAATATTGTTTCACATGTTGCCTTGAAATAAACCCATCAATACTACCATATTTCACATAGTCTTAGTCCTCTTTTAATATACAAATCTCTTAGTTTAATCCGAGTGGGTAGTTACTGTGAGTGTGTCACAGGTAAGAGGATGTTGGTGGACGACAACTGTAAGGACCCGCGCTGTCAGGACTGCAAAATCGGAGAGTATCAGAGCGGCTACACAAGCAATACCAGATGCGAACGCCAGCCCAGCTGTGACACCAGTAAGAGTGCATTACTGCTGAAATATTAGGAGGGTGGGGAGCTGTTAATAAAAACAATGTTTAGTCCTCAAGATTTTTAAATATTTATTTATTAAGACAAATGTATGATTTTTTTTAAACAGATACACATTTAATTTTTCATCTATTAATATCAATAATAAATCGTTTTAAAACCTAATTATTCATATATTCATGATAAGCTTGTGGATAAATGAATAAATGTAAATGTAATCTCTCCTCTCGCTTTTCTGTTTAAATCAGATTTACATTTAAAGCCACAAGAGGATAAACCCATTACAAACCGTCTAAACAAATGCGTTTGTGAACCTGGATACTACTGTACACTAGATGATGACTGCAGCGCTTGTATGAAACACAGTGTTTGCAAGCCAGGACAGAGAGTCGCCAAAAAAGGTTTGTGCTGTCAGGCGTCACTAGTTTTATATATGTATATAGTATATACTTGGTGGTTTATGTTGATTCTGTCCTGAATTGCACCTCCAGAATAATAATATGCCACATCCCTCTTAGACTATCACTTCAGATGTGATTTAGAGAATTTATAATCATTCTGTAATCATCCGATTCGCCTTAAAGACACCTTGGAGGAATCTGTTGAAGCCTGGTGGTTAAATGAAAGGTTATAGGTTCAAACCTCTGGCAATGTTTAATCTTTGCCCCTCATCTCCTTGTATTTACACAGGTTCACCGGAAAGTGATACTGTGTGTGAAACCTGTAAAAATGGAACGTTCTCCGACCACGATTCAGCCGACACTTGCGAGGAATGGACAACGTATGAAAAATCGTTCTGATTTTTTCACCTATTTTAAAAAGAAATGAATACATTTATTCAGCAAGGATAACATTTATAATGTTGCAAAATATTTTTATTTCAAATAAATGCTGTTCTTTTGGGCTTTCTACTCATCAAAGAATCCTGGGGAAAATATATCACGCCTTTCACATGTGTGAATATAATATGAAGCAGCACAACTGTTTTTAACATTGATAATAAGCATCAAATCAGCATATTAGAATAATTTCTGAAGGATCATGTGACACTGAAGACTGGAATAATAATGCTGAAAATGTAGCTTTGATCACAGGAATAATTAAATTAAAATAAAATTAATAAATTAAATTAAATTAAAATTTAAAAAATTTAAATTACATTTTATAATACATTAATATAGAAAATAATTATTTTCACAATATTGCTGTATTTTTGATCAAGTAAATGGAGAATCAGATACTTCTTTCAAAAACATGTACAACTCCAAATTTTCGACTTTTGACTGAATTTTTTATTTGGCCATCATATTTTTAGGGTTATATCAGAATTTAAGTCAAGAGTTTTATTGACAATCATAAAAAAGTTTATAAATAGTTTTAAATTTCTCTTTCTTCTTGTGTCTAGATGTGACTATGGATATGATCAAAACACTCCTGGCAGTTCAACTTCAGACCGCAGCTGTTGTGAGTAAAACGCAATCTTGCTTTTTAATCGCCTTCATACTTTGTCCAAAATCATTATGAATTTTAAATGGTAAACTCTTAAAAGACATAATGTGGGTGTTGAAAACACAGTAGTGAAACCTTTAGTTGTGTGGGTGGAGTCCAGTTCCTGTATGGCTACATTTGTGTGATCACTTTTGATCACTCATGCTTATTTGAAACAAGACTGTGAAGAGTTTGCAATACACACTCAAATGTTTTACAATGCTGTCAGTAGTATTGGTTTGATTACAGGTACCTTAATATTAGGCATGAGGAAGTCTTCTCAGTTTGTTGTATGTTTTGTTTTTCTCATTTCAGTGGGTTCACCCGTTTACAGAGCTGTCACTGGCGTGGGAATTGCAGTACTTGTGTTGGTTGTCATCATAGTTTTAGTTGTGTATTTTTACATGTCAAAAAGTAAGTACTGCAACCTACAAATTATCTACAATAACACAAAGTATACTGTTTGTCACAATAGAGTGCCACAGAGCCGCCCACTTTTTCAGCGACGTTGGTTCCGGAAGTATTTCTTCCATTCATTTCTTTCATAGGGATAACTTTGATTTGAAGCAAAAAGCATTTGAAAATCAGACAAAAATACCGTGTTCTTAACGGCTTTAGTGAGTGAAAGAACTACAATCCCATGAAGCTTTGTGAAGACCATAATCAAATTAAAACGATATAGAAATATAAAACTACTCATTTAAAAATGTTGATTTTATATATATATATATATATATATAAACAATATAATTGAACTTTTGTGCATAATATGCACATATATGCCAATATTTTGGTGCATTTTGCTGACTTCTACTTTCTGATTGGTGGATTTTTCCCACGCAGAATCATGGGTAATGTAGTTTTTCCACCACGAATTCTGCTGTTAAACAAATATTTTAAAAATAAGTTGAAATAATGTGCTTCAACAGAAGCAAATACTATCGATTAACAACCTCGTAGCTCACAGTAAGGCTGTCTTTAAAGGTTTATAATTTGTCATTTAAAAATCAATTTCCCTATAGAGAAAAGGAGTTTTTTTCTTCCGGAATCAGACTGTTTCACTCTATAGGCTTTTATATTACAATTTCGAAGTGATCAAGTGCTCATTATATCTTTCATAAAACAAAAACAATCATCAATAATCACTTTTTTTACTTTTCTTCTAGGAAATCAGGGGTGGAAAGAGGTAAAAGGGGTAAATATTAACTATTTAATCATATGCGACATTCAAAGTCATGCACAGCCTTAAATTCGAAAAATGAAATATTCATGTGAGGAGATTAATGATAATGGTTCTTTTGTTTTTAGTTCGCCGCGGACCAAATGGTTACGCCCTTAAACATAAGACCGGTCCATCGCGAGGAAGATGTTGAGAGAGCAGACCAACCGACCAACCGACAGCCTCAGGAGGACTTAGACCACAGCGAACCCGTGAGCCCCTCGCCAAGTAACATGACAGAAAATGGAAATGTTGTTGATCAAGAACATGGCAAGGAACATATCATTTCAAGTACTGAATCAAATGGATATTCGTATTCATATTCATAGAGCAAAGTCTTGTACAGCGTACAGAAATCTGTGCTCCCATCATGTTACAACCATCAATGTATGCATTACATTATAAAGCACTGCTTTACTCTAAACGTCCCCAAACAAGCATGTGTCTTATACAATCATACAAGTGTTTTTTCACGACTGAAACAGTAGCTCTCCTTAGCATGAGCTTTGTGTTTTCAAACATATGCTGTAGATACTACTCTGTGCAGCTGAGAGTGTTTGCCGTGTCCTGTGGTAGTTATGAAATATAATCCACTAACATAATAAGTCCAAAATAGAAAGCACATTTAGATGTAAACAAAAATTAAAATAGTGATGGAGTGTAGTGGTGGTTGAGGGTGGCTTTTTGTTGAGCTAGCATACACACACACTACTTCTTCTAAAAGAGCGAGTGGTGAAGCACTATGAAAGTTCCTATGGATGCTTTTTCCAGAATGCCTGATAAACGACAACTTTCTAAAACGGTTTGGAAGTAACCTTTTCAGAACTCTTCTAAACTTTCTTAGAATTGTTAGCTAGGATGGAATATAGCGTTGTACAAAAAAGTGAGTATAATTGTTATTATGCTTAAAATCATGTATAATATACAGTATGTTTTAATATTTTGGTGTTTTTGTATTCATTTGTTTCCTGTAAGACAGACTGCTAAATGTTCGGATTTCTGTGGCGCTTTGTATTGTTTTATGTAAATATTTCCATTGAAAATCACAATTTTTGTTTGTGAATTGTTCTTTTATTGTATTTTATTTCAGGTTTATGTAAAACAAACTCTATATTAAAAGCATTCCTGATTCTGCATAAATAACCCATCTATCACTGCAAGATGTTTACTCGCCACTTATGAGGTGATGTGAAATGTCCACAGGAAAACTATTGACAAATGTTATTGTGTGAAACTGTGTGTTAAGTCGCTCATGAGTCATCATGACTTTCCAAGAGATGCATTGTGGGATACTATGACTGTCCACAAGAGGTTGCCATTTCCATGTCTGTGGAGTTTTGGGATAAAATAGTTCACAGTAAAAAATCACATTGCAATATTTTCTTAATCCAACTCACTTAACTTTTTTTGGAAAATATATACGATTGTAATGGATTGTATTGATGTAAATATTTCTGACTTGACACGTTCTTATAAAGCTCATGTTTGTTGTATACATCTAAACAAACATAGCTTGTTGAACTATAAATCAGGGTGTAGCATCCAAAGCATAAGACCATATGCTGGGATCAGGAGGCCCTTGTGGGACACATTGATTGCCGATTTAGGCATTGTATCTCACACCATTGTTCAACACCTCAATCCTTATCTCAATATCACAGCCTTTTGCCTGTCATGTTTAGACTGGGATTACACATCATTTGGGCCACTGAAAAGGGGGCATGGAGGAGATTGTTGTGCCCAGTGTGTGTTAGCAGTGAATATGTGCTTGGGGGGTGGCTGGGAGGTTCTCCTTTTTTTGTACCCAGGGGTTTTCTCATTATCCTTGGATTAACAGACCACAGGCCTTTGAATTTACATGGAGGCCATAGTGATTGGCAAGGAAGAGTTTTCCTTTTATCATTCCCTCTGCAGAGGGGAGGCCGCAAAAACAGAATATTGTCCGGAGGCCTAATCATGTTGGTGTGTTTGTGTCAGAGATTTATTAAAGAAACCAAAGAATGCAAGATTTTTTGTTGTTGTTGCCCCATCGCTTGATGGAGCAGTTTCTCAATTTTAGATTCTATTTTTTTTTTTTTATAATTTTCTTATGCCAGTTCATAACTAGGGTGAAATATGCACAGGAAAATTTGAATCGCTATCAGCATGACTTGATTTTTATTTTTAATATTTATCACACCATTATATTTCTTTAATAATAGAATTCACTTTTTAACTTTTTGCACTTTGACTTTTTGTGTCAGAATACTATTTATTTTCTCATAAGTAACTTTGTTCCGGTTTGATCCTACCTTTGAGCACCAATGAGGGCGGGTGTAAAGCCAGGTAGAGCCTCTGGCACTTTTCGTCTGTCAAGTCGTGACTAAACAGGAGAATAATCTTAATTATCACCCTTTAAGATGGAACAATTCATGTCCTTAATCCGCAATGCCTTGAATTGTTTTAACAGATCAGAGCTAGATATGCAAATCCCTTAATAGTAGTGTCCTCACTGATAACATGAAGCCTAAATCCTGCCTTGAAGTGAAACGCTTTGAACGCGTCTTGATCTGCCTCGAAAATCTGAGAATTCCTTTCGAACGACGCAATTATCATATATATAAAGTTCGATTGTATACATACGTTCTTTTAAAGGTTTTAGAGAGTTATGATGGCTACATCATCTGTGACTATAAAAATAAAACAATAAAATAGTTCTAAATTCTGATTGGATGAGCCGCGTCCAAAGCGTTGTCAAATAGCGAACTGTTACGTAAATATATGTGGTTTAAGATTAATCCAATTATTTAAAAAAATGTGATAACTTATTCAAATCAATTGTTTTTATCCCATTGCTGTTGTTTATATTTTATAAAAAATTCGCGTTGCGCCAGCTCTGATTGGATGAGCCGAATTTGAACTCGTATCTGTAATATTGAAGCCTACATTGTTGCAACGTCGGATATTACATTTAAAAAAGGCATTTTTTTTAAATAAATAATAGTCTATATTTTACTTATGTTGCCACTATTTTCTAAAGTTTTTGCGGCTACGAACAATATTCGAGTTGCAGGCAATTCACTGAACATGGACAGATTTTCGTGGCTTATTGCTCAAGTGAATTAGTCTTTAAGACTTTCAGAAATTCAATCGAAAGTATGCTTCTGTAACTGAAAGCAAAACAATGCAGAATTTCGCATTTGAAATCATTTCTCATTGTAAAAACATACCCCCAGATCATTAACACTGACCATGAGCAAAACCTTTAGATTTTTCAACGTTTTATTTTAGCAAAAATAAGTCAGCAGGTAAATGCATTTATAATTTAAACAAAATAAAATGTACAATATTTACAGAACACGCATCCTTTGGTTTTTAAACCATGCAGGCATTTGATTAAATCTTTTATGCAAACTTCCACAACAAAACGTTCCCAATGGTTTCAAAGTGCAAAATGGAGTCTAGAGTGTTTTGGATGAAGAGTCTCATTGACTTTGTTTGAGAAGGTCGTGTGTGGAAAGGTTCACAGGTGAGTAGGAGTCTCTCGAAGGCCATCCAGCCCACCATTTCCCAAAGTCCGGGCTTTGATGGTGTTTCAAATCGCTGGGTTTCTTGACGATATCAGAGGTCGCGGTTTCCGCGAGAGACCAGATTTTAGGTTTCTGGACATCGACGTTTTGCTTACACACCTCTCTTTTGGTCTCACACGATGTGTCAGACTTGTCACTTTCTTTTTGCTGATCAAGTCCTTCCGCTAAACGGTCCTCCACCGTGACATCCTCCTCCTCCTCCTCATCAACGGTTTGAGGATCGATCTCATCTTCATCCTCCATGCCTTTCCTCAAGGACCCCTCCTCTTCGCTCTCACCCTCCTCTTCCTCATCCTCCTCATCTGACTTTCCTTTGGAGGCCCAGCTGACCCGGTTCTCCTTCTTCAGGCGGCGCCGGGCATTGGCGAACCACGTCGACACCTGCGTGAGGCTCATCTTGGTGACGATGGCAAGCATGATCTTCTCGCCTTTGGTGGGATATGGGTTTTTCAGGTGTTCGCTGAGCCAGGCCTTCAAAGCGCTGGTGCTCTCCCGGGTGGCCACTTTGGTGACCCGACTGGGGTCATCAGCTGGCATGGGACGATAAGGAGTGTAATAGGGTCCCCCACGTCCGAGGAGAGCTTGGTGATATGGTGATGCAGCCTTGAGGTCATAGGAATTGCTCTGAAAGTAAGCAAGAGATTCGGTTTTAGAATATGAACAGTTTTGCATTACAATAAAGACAGTAAAGGGTTTGTTCATGAACCCAAAAATGAAAGTTCTGTCATCATTTACTCACCCTCAAGTTGTTCCAAACCTGTTGAGTTTCTTCTGCTGAACACAAAAGAAGATATTTTAAAGAATGTTCGCAATCAAACAGTTGACAGAAGCCTTTGACTTCCATAGAATGTTTATTCCTACCATGGAAGTCAATGGCTGCCAGTCATCAACTGTTTGATTGCCAGCATTCTTTAAAATAATCTTCTTTTGTGTTGAGCAGAAGAAACTCAACTTGAGGGTGAGTAAATGATGACAGAATTTTCATTTTCGGGTGAACTATCCCTTTAATTGAATTGTATCTTTTTTTAATTCTATATACATTTTAATTAGGCCTATATTTCACCTTTATACAAAAACTTGAAATATTTCAAAATCTTTTTAGACATTTACGGTGTTTTTTTCTGCATTGAATTGTAATGCAATATGAGAAGAATTCAAAATACTTACAATGTGTGCAATGTGTCCCGGATGATGATAAGGGATGAAGCTGTACCCTGGTATTCCTGAGAAAGGTAAGGGAACCCCAGCCATGCCCACAAAATGTGGCGGTGGCTGTTGAACTCCAGGTGGGCAGCCCAATAATTGATATCCAGCGGGCATGTTGATGTTTCTGTCCATGAAGAAGTTTCCAAACCCCGTTGGTGAAGCAGGCATCCTTACTCCCTGAGCTCTGGTGTTTGAATGACACTCCCACGAGTTCACGGGCTCTCTTTATAGGCGGAGCCGCATCAGTGGGCGGGACCAGAGTAGGTGATTGACAGCTGTGATCCGAAGGATTTCTCTGGGAGTAAATCCCTTCAAAGGAGAATTTCGGTTGTTCCTTTTAACGGCCTCTAAAAGTCTTTAAACTCATGATGCTTATCTCACGCTTATCCGTACTGAAGAGTGGAAAATATTAAGGCTCCGTTTGAAATTCGCATTTTCTGGAGATGCTCTTGTGATACATCCACCTAAAATAGTTTCAATTAAAAATAGGCTACATTATAGCCTAGTCTACATGAAGAAAATCCGCCTGTTTTAAATGATAGGATAATTTATAAAGTTTTTTCAAAAGTTAAGTCAAACTATATTTTATTAGTATATAGGCCTAAATGATATTATCTAATAAAAAAATATATAAAAAAATTTGACATAGCCTTTTCGTTTTGATTTATATACACTCGTAAAATAAAGGTTCCAAAACAGGGTTTTCACAGTGATGCCATAGAAGAACCATTTTTGGTTCCCCAAATAACCTTTCAGTTCTTAAAATAGCCAAATTTTTTTTTTGTGTGTGTGTGCGAAGAACATTAAAAAAGAACCCTTTTACACCAAAAAAAAAAAAAAAAACTTTGAT